TAAATTTCCCTTGACAAAAAGAAAGAAGCTAAATTGCACTCTCCTTGAATCTTGTTTTACTTTTTGGGTTTTATTCTTCAAACCAGAGAAGAGTGAGATTTAAAGGGGAGCTTAAGGGCAACCCACCCTGCTGCTTGCTTCTTCTTTTGTTTTTTGTGTTTATTATTTGAGTTTTAAGAGCAGAGAGTTCATAGCAGTGACGTGGCAGCCGAGAACCCCATGTTTTGTTTTAGAGATGATTTTTATGCTTCCACGCAAGCTTGCTGGCAGAAAAAAACGGGAAGTTGGGGAGGGGCGCAGCCGCCTTCATTTGCACAGCAGTGACGTGGCGCAAGGCTAAGCCAAGAACCCCTTGTTTTGTTTTGCTTTGTTTTTTTTTGCATGATTTTATATGCTTCCATGCAAGTTTGCTTGGCTTAAACAAGCGGAGGGGGTTGGAGGGGGCCGCAGCCCTCTTCCCCCATAGAAGGCCAGCAATTACTACGCTCTTTGAACTGCTCAAACCCTCACAAAAGACCCAGCAAGTATTGAGCCTTTTCAACTGCTGCCTAAGCCTTCCACAGAAGGTCCAACAAGCATTACGCCTTTGAAACTGCTGCCCAAACCCTCCAAAAGGCCCAGCAAGCATTAGGCCTCTTAAACTGCTGCCTAAACTAAACTCTCCGCAGAAGACGCATGTTTTGAAACTTCTAGGAACTAGGCAGCTTTGGGTGTAAGGGTTGTGGTGGCCAGCTGTCCCTTAAAACCCAAGGCTCATGCGTGTTAGTTTTTTTTTTTGTGCGCGGGCTTGTTTCTGCTTGTCAAAAGCTTGTACTGGCTTCAGCGAGACGTCGAAGGCGCTTGGTGCTTGCCAAGAGTGGTCGGAGTGGGTAGAATGCACAGCAAGCCGGCAATTCGGATGGTGGTAAGAACCGCGGCAGTTGCCACAGCGGTTGAGTTTTTTGGCCCTGGCTCGCTGTTACCTGTTTGCTCAGCAGCGCATGCGTCGGCCCATGGTCATACTTGTTCTGCGTGTGTTCGAGCCCGACGGGCAAGTGCAGCGGAAACGTGGATCTCTTGCTGTGTTTGGCACAGCCGGTTTTGGCCAGCAAGTATCACGCCTCTTCAATTGCTGCCCAAAAGCCCAGCAAACATTAGGCCTCTTAAACTGCTGGGCTTGGCTGCAGCTTCAGGGGGGATTTAGGGGGGCTTCAAGGGGGCTTAAAAAAAGGGGTTGAAAGGGGGGCTTTCCTTAAAGGGGGGCTCTAGGAGGGCTTGAAAGGGGGGTTGAAAGGGGCAAAGGGGGTTTAAAGGGGGGCTTAAAGGGGCAGGGGGGCTTAAAGGGGGTTTAAAGGGAGGCTTCAAGGGGGGCTTAAAGGGGGGCTTAAAAGGGGGGGGAGGCTTAGGGGGGCTAAGGGGGGCTTTGTAAGGGGGGGCTTCAGGGGGGGCTTAAGGGGGGCTTTAAGGGGGGGCTTTAAGGGGGGGCTTAAGGGGGGGCTTGAGCGGGGGCTTAAGGGGGGCTCAAGGGGGGGCTTAAGGGCTTTTGACCCTTTGTTCCCCCCCCCCCCCCCGAAGGGACCCCCTTTGCAGGGACCCCTTTGAAGGGGGGCTTAAGGGGGGCTTAAAGGGGGGTTTAAAGGGGGGCTTAAGCCCCCCTTTGCCCAAAGGGGGGGGGCCCATCCTCGCAAAATAACACAGCGATTATGCATCGAAGCTGCACGAAAACCGTCTTTTTAGTGTGAACGCGCGAGACCACGAGCTTCTACGCATACGACGAAACTGTGCGGATTACCCGGAAACCGAAATCGTAAAGTTGGACCCTTTTAAAGCAAAAATAAGTGTTTTAAAAAAGGTCCAACTTTACTTCTGAGTCCGTTTTTTGGCAATCCACTTTGCAACTGTGGTATTCCCCAGGTGTCGCACACGGTCCTTCCCACCTCACCTTAAATCTGCGGCAGCGTCAGAGCCTGCCAACGGTCGTTGATTTACCTTTCTAGCACGGCTCAAATCACAGAAATTGAGGGGGTGGAATTCAGAACATTCTCCACTCTTCTCTTCTACAGGCTTCGAAGGGCAACAAGAAATTGAGAGAGGGTGGAATTTAAAATAATTCTCTTCTGGACAAGAAATTGAGAAGTGGAATTTTCGTTCCGTCTTCACCTTCAAACTTCGAAGCTCTCCCGTTCGTCCTTGCCTCGCAACTTCGAAGCCTCTTCGCTCTCACCTTTGAATCCTTCGAAGCTTTCAGTAGACGCATCGCCCCATTCCTTCGCAAAGTTCTGCCTTGCTGAAGCCTGTTAAGAGGGAGGCAGCAGCAGTCTTGTTGTGGCAGTATCAGAAGCCAGCCACACCGCCTTCCATGCGTCGACGTCACCTTGCCTCTGGACGGCAGGTTGGATAACGCGCTCCGACAGACACGTGGTAGCGGTCTTGTGGTGCGAGCCCTGTATGTTGGACAGCCGAAGTTCTGAGTTCTGTGCTTCTTGATGACATACAGAGCCAAAAGTGTGGTTAAGACGGCCTCTGTGCTTGGCTTTATTCTTCGTGGTAAGGGATTTGGGGACTTAGAGCTGAAAGGGAGGCTTGAAGGGGGAGCTTAAAGGGCTGGGAGATGAGAGAAGAACTTCTTCCAAATTCCACCCGTTCCCGAATCTTGTTTTGTTTTTCAAAGTCCCCCTTCGTTCTCACCTTCGAAGCCTTCGAAGCCCTTCGTCCTCACTCTTCGAAGCCTTTGAAGCCTTCTCCTCCCTTCGAAGCCTTCGAAGCCTTCGTCCTCACCTTCGAAGCCTTCAAAGCCTTCAGACCTTCCCCCCCCCTCTTCCCCCCCCCCCCTTCGACTCTTCGGTTTCGAAGGCTTCGAAGGCTTCGAAGCCCCCTTCGCCGAAGGGTAACGGGACGTTTGAAACCTTTAAGGCCAGATTTCTTGCAAAAATCGCCTTCAGGAAGCGCGCAGCCCGTGGGCTATTCGCCGAATAATGTCGGTAAACTTGTGATTGTAGACTTTAGCTTTTGTAAAAGCTAGTGCAACATGACCGTATGTTTTCTAAAAGGGTGTGCGGCACATTGAGCAGGTAAGCGGTGAAAGTTGTGCAGCGATTGAGGCAAAGTGTTACAGCTATGGCACATCCATACATACATGTACAGTTTGACATACTTTGCACAGGAATTGAACCACAACCTCGATTGCTTCTGCAAAAGATTCCAAACAACTCCAGCATTTGCAGGGTTGGTACACATCTCGGCATATGCATGAATTGTCGTGTTAAAGTTTCGTAGTTTTATGCAGCTTTTTGAAGAAAGTAGATGATCCACACACTAACTTGGCCATGGGAAGCGCGTTTTTGCTTGACGTCTGGATATGTGATATAAACACATGGAGCTGGCATGTGTTCCTAATGTCTGACTTCCTGGCAACATTTCGGTGCATCATTTTGCTGCATACGCTTTTTGGTCATCAGTGAAGACAAGGCTTGTTAGTGTAATGTTGACATTGCTGTTGATGCACTTCGGAATCGCCTTGGGCCTCAAGATCAACTTTTTCCGCTCAGGTGAGGACATTGTTGTCAAAGTTGTTCAAATATTGACGTAATTCAGCAATACCAAGCACAAGACCTTCTGGTTGCTTTCCCTGCAAGCTAATTGCCGCCCCACGCTCGAATCTCCGCGTACACATAGCACGTTTGCTTTTTGTATACCTTCCACACCCGAGACAGCAGTGCGTTTGTTTTGCGTTGCAGCCAATGGCAAAGGCCCGACTGGGAGCGGCAGTGGAGCACATGTACCGTTGACTTTTGTGCATTCGAGGTCGTCGCGTATGTTTATGACATCACGCAGGCCAGCACGGAGCGGGCATGTGTGCATCGTGACAAGCACGTTGCAAGTGAGAAGTTGTTCAGGTGTTGTGCATGCGTTGCTGTTGTTGAAAGTGCATTCTCTACATGAGTTTTTGCATGCCTCAAAGAATCCAGCGGGGGATTGGGCTCCGGTGGTCATGTCATTGGCATGGCTGTGGCTTTCCAGGGCATGGCGGCGCAAATGTCTCTGCCATTGATAGGCGAGTTTCCACCTCTCTGCAGTTTTTGCGTTGAGCATGTGATTCGACGAGTTTGCAGATTGCATTCTGAGGATGTGCACAGGACTTTGCTGCGTGTTGTTTGCTCGAAGTTAACACTCGTTCTTGAATGCGTAGCTTCACCTTCAGCGAGTGAAACGGAAGTTTGTCAGGTTCAACCATGTTAACCACTCATACACGGGTTTGCTTTCGCATGCCTTCGCAATCCGTAGCTGGAACCAAGTGGTCTTGTCTAGAGCCTAGAGTATCAAGTTGCGTAGGCTCACGCACTTTTAGCATGGCGGAACTGCGTGCTGAGCTCGAGGCAGGAACGTGCATTGTTCAGATCAGCGGCCCATGAGTGCTTTTCAGATTGTGTGTCTTTGTCTGTTCCGGTGTGTGTCCTCGGGGGCAGTGGCAAACTTACAGGAAGCAGGAAGTTGAAAGTCAAGTTTCTGGCAGGTAGCCATTGCGCAGCTTAAGGAGGATCTGTTGATCCCTCAGCGAGGTGTGGGGGTCAGACCCGAAATAACACAGAATTGCCAAACCTAGGCAAGCACAGCTTTGGAACTATTATGGGGCACTTCGAGAGCCAGCTGCAGCATTGAAGGAGATCTATCTCGCGCCCGCAAGTTCGCAAGGGTCATTCGCTACACACTCACGTCCCTTTTCTTGAGAAGCTGCAGCATCTACACTACTTCAAGCATCAGCAGGACCGTGTTGAACAGCTGGAGGAGAGGCTGGAGGAGAGTGAGACAGCTGAAGCCAAGCCTTAGCAGAAACGCCTTTGCTCGGAGGATTTCTCCGTGCCTCCCAGCGCTTTGGCTGGTGTGGAGGAGGCGCAGACAAGTCGCATAACACTCTCGAGTTCGATGTCGCTGCGTGATCAAAATGCCGTACGCGCGTGGCGAAGTGAGTGTGCCAGAAGCCAACTATCAGCTACCCGCAATTTGGATCAAGGCTGTTTGGCATGTACAGAGGAAAGCCTCACTGGCCAAGCATGAAAGTGTACAGTAGCAACAAAAGCAGCCTTTGTATCCGCTGGCCGCTCCTTTGCATGTTGATTCTGTCTTTATCAATGGTTGTGCGCAGACGTGGTTGAAGCAGTCATCCCTATCAAAGTATGGCGAATCGACGCCCCGCTGAGGTTTGGCCTTACAGGATTTGTGGCCGCATCCGCGGCTGCCGCTGCTGCTCCTGACTTCAAGAGCGAATCATGTCCGCGATCGGCAGGCATGATGGACAAGAAGCAGCGAGCTATCGGCAAGAGTTCCGTCTGCTGCCCCTGTGGAAGGTTCGACTTTCTTGCAGAAGGTTCCTTCCTTGCGACGGCTGATGACATTGACTGGCATGGATTCGATGTTGAATTTGCAGCGCTGAGAGAGAGTGCGAGCAAGAGCCAGCGAGAGAGAGAGAGAGAGATGCCCCACGAACAAAAGAATCCAGAGAGTGAGAGAGACTCGCATACTCACGGGAAGGAGAAGCTTGTCTAGGCAGAAGCTGCCTTGAACCGAGGATCACCTTGAAGTTGCTGCCCCTGGTTTCGAGTGGCTGCCGGTAGATGGTGGCATGAATCGAGCTTGCCGTGGCAAGTCGGCAGGTGACAACTTGGCCTCGTATTTCACTGTGCACCAGGCAAGTTTCGGCCACAAGCTTTCTCCCAAGCCAGCAAAACTAGTACAAATTCAGCAGCTCCATCATGCCTTGTCTCTTTGATTCTCTTTGCCTTGATCAGGGGCTGGGCAGCCTTCTTGCCTGCCAAGACCTCTGCGAGGGCACCGCAGCCTGCAAAGGCGTTGAATACCACACGTCTGGAAGATGTGAGATCTGGACTCGCGTGGGCGGGATCGAGGCAAGCATCAGCCCGTGTCTTAGCATTCTAGTGAGAGCTGTCAGAAACAGCTCGTTCCCGCACGACGATGCATCTGCATGCTGTGAAGCGTTGCAGCCTAGCCATTTGTGAAGGCTTGGATGGATATTCCTGTTACAGCTATGAGATTTCTGATTTCATCCCAGTTGATGCGGGCATCAACCGAGCCTGCCGCGGAGAGACTGCTGCAGATGACTCTCCAAGCTACAAAACGGTGCATACAGTCTCTTCCCTTAGCCAATGCAAGCAGCTGTGCCGGAATAATGCTAGTTGCACAGGCCGGGAGGGGGGAAGAGGGGATGGGGCATTGCAATGAATTATAAAGGGAACTTGCCATGCACACGGTTTCCATGACAGCCAGGCATCGAATTCAACAATATGCGGTGTGAAGTCTGGACATATGACATTCAATCATCCATTGAGGCATCTGGCTTCCAGTGCCTGAAGCTTCTAGGAATGAAATCGGAGTGGGTATTTGGACGAAGACTTCTCAGTTGTGAGAATGCTTTGGCTCCTGCGATCAGCCCTGCCCAGTGTCTGAGGCTAGAGTTCTCCAACATTGATGGGGACAATCGTGCCTGTCGAGGGTCAAGTGTTTCTGACAACAATCCACGGAATTACATCATCGCTGAAGGCCAGGTTTAGGTGACACCGGTTCGGCAATGTTGGAAGAGTGTAGAGGGTCGTCGCTAAGCGCAGCATGAGCAGCCGAACAGAGGCACCAGACAGCAGGACTATTGTGCATCTGTGCATAGGTATCATGGTACTCCTATCTTTCGTGTCGAGGCTAGAGGCTTGACAGCGATACCAGAATGTAGTGCCCTTCTGTCCTTTCCAGGTGCCGCATCAGAGTCGGACCTTCGGAGCAAATTGTGTGAAGCGGCACTTCCCAAGCTTGCTCTTCATTTTGCGTGCAGAAGAATGACCGAATGCAGCAGGTTTACGTCGACAAAGCTTTTTGTCTTCTTCCAAGGAATGCAAAGAGGCTTGCAGGTCGCAAGATGGATGCGGTGGCGTTGAGTACAGCCCTGGACGATGTGAGCTGTGGATCCGCCCCGAGGGTATACAGGAGAAGCTTGATGTGCCTGATGTGCCGGCATTCCAATTTAAAGTTCCGCAGCTTGACCCGTGACAGGCGACTGTACCTCTGGATGGTTTCAAGCTTCTTGGCTGCGTCAATGGATTCATTTAGATTCATCTACTCCTGTGGGCCAGTTGTGTGCTAGTTGCCACTGCACCACCTAGAAACTTGAGGTGCCTGCGCTACCACGGAGGCAAAACACGCCCCATGAAGCAAACCATGCGTGCGGTTGCGTGTTTTAATGTGTTTTGCAAGAGTTGTCACGTCTCAAAACAAGCTGCTCGATCCGCCCCTCTTGGCCAGGGAGCACAACAACCACTTCACCGACCACAATGACCACAACGCAGGGTATGACCTCGGAGCCAAATCGTGCTTCTCAGTTAATGTTCGTCTTGGCAGCGCAGATAATCAGGCACTGACAAACTCGGGAGAGTTCGGGAGCAGCAGTTTCTGCGTGTTTCTGTACCGCTTAGTCTGCCTCGCTGTTTGGAGCCAAGGCTCAGTTTCTCATTCGTTCCACCTTTGGACCGACTTTGTCAAGCCTACAAGAGCTTGCCAACAAGACATACCAAGAATGGATCGATGAGCAAATGCTGCTGCCAGCCGGGCTCCACCGAGCGTTTTGGAGATTCTTGAAAGCCTTGGCTTGGAAGCTCTTGGACATGATTTTCCTCGCAGCATCTTTTTGAAGGCTCGTGGATCCAAGGACAGCGCGTAAATCCTCACGTTCTGCCGTGCCTTGGCAAGAAGAGCTGCTGGGGTGTGCATGGTGTGCCTTGTATTGCTCCGTCGCTGTGCTCTCAAGGGAGGATGTTGACAATGGGAACCTGATCGGCAATGCCCGTTCTCGGTGTGAGACCGGCTCCCGCTGGGTGGGCTACACGTTCTTGACACGTGATGTTGGCCGGGCTGTCAAGGCTCGGAGGCTCTGGTCCAATGAAAGTTCAGGGAAGAAAGAGAAGCTTTAGAAGCTAGATGAAGATATTGGGGTCCATGCACATGTAAACTCCTCTGTGCAAGATCCACTCTAAAAGCTACTCTAGAAGTCCCAGGCATCGATGCTGGATGCCCAAGCCAGATGCCCCCCAGTGCACCTTGCCGAAGCCCGAAGCCTGGAAAGGTGAGCGGAAATCGGATCTTGGTAGATGGCCTGCATCGCACCTCGGCAGAGTGTTTCCTGTGCTCATGAAGCAGGAAGAACTTGCAGCAGTCGATGGTGCAGTGTACCAAGGAACGGATGTAGATCCAACGCACGCAGGCCGCATGTGCTTGGTCGTTAGTTACAAGTCGGAGCACCATTCACGGCAAGATCTTGAGGCAATGGCTTGGATCCTCCACAGACCTGCAACAACAATCCTCCAGAGTACTGGCAGACAAGAGGTTTGACGTGTGAAGCTGAGGCTGCCCCTCGACGGCATGTAGGTTGTGTTAGATTTTCCACCTGCTACGTACTCCTGTTCGTGGGATGTAGAGAAAGCCCCGCGTGACAGGGGCTAACATCGACTCAAGACAATGGGTGGTTGCATCCTCCTTGTATCTTCATATCTTTCCATGGCTGCTTGCATGGACTCTCTTGCCTTTTCCAGTTTGTGTCAGCAACTTGCTACATGTCTGTATGTTAGACAAAACATCTTTCAAAGTCGTGATGATCATGCGGAATTGCTGGCCAGCAGCTGCCAACATCTGCCAGCGGCCATGTGTGTGAGTGATTGTGAGTGGTCTAAGTGGTCTAGCGACAAGCGGCAGCAGCACACTTGAAGTCCCAAGGAGAGCATGGCATGGAATTGCTTTGACGATTTCTGGAAAGAAGAAAAGCTATGTCAGAGGACCTGCTTTGACCGAGGGTATGGTTACAGTGGAGACGACTGCTCTGGTGGTTGGGCAGGACAGATCTTGTAGCTGTGCATTCTATCTAACAGGGCATGAAATCGTGGTGCTGGGTCGTCTTGCATCGGCATCAGGTCGCATAGCCATAAGTGCCCGAAGCTGCGTAACCACAGCCTTCAGGAGTTGAGTTTGATGGGTATGTTTGCAGCGTGAAGGCGAACACAGTCGGAGCATGGGTGCAGCTGGGTACAACAGAGGACTGCACGGCGAATCTGCGAGCGATGACAAACCCTCATGTGTGGAGGAGCGCAGCAACTGCTGAAATGATTCAAAGCTTACATTTCACCGTGTTCCGTCCGGATGTTATTCTCATGTCATCGCCCGTTGACCCATGCAACATTGGCACTGTCGTGCGGTCGGACGTGGAGTATGCGGAGGGCCGGTTTTACATGCTGGAGCCGCGTCTGACTCTGACGGAAAACACCTTAGAGAGGCCGGCCTCAGCCGGTTCCTGGCTTGGAGGTGTCTGCCCGGCCGTGAGCAGGACATTTCTCAATGAAAAGACTTGCAAACTCTTGCCAGGTTGTTTACCTCTCGGGGTTGAGAGCATCCGCTTGACGCTGAATGCCGCTACTTTTCAGAGGTTCTTCACTGTTGGAGGGCGCTATGTATATGCAATCGCGGGCCTACGAACCAGCACCTCACCATGCAACCGGAGATCACGCTGGAAAAGGTTAGACTGCCAGCAGGAGTCGTGTACTACGACCTCGCTCCCTACCAGTGATGCAACGGCCATCAGTTCGCAGCTCATGGCGGAAGCATCGCAAGGATGGCTTCGTGACACAACCATCGAATGCAATTCCATCGCAGCGGGAGCAGTCGTGCAAGTGGGCTCCGACTACTTCCAGCACGTCCACTTAGATGAGTTTAACGTCTACGACTTCACAGACTGGGTCGCAGCTCATCCAGGTGGACCAGACAAGATTACGCAGTGGACCAGCCAGGCTAGGGTGGGGTACTGGTCACTGCTCTGTCTTTGAACCACTGCTCTGTCTTTGGAAATCTTGGACAAATCTTTTTTTCGAGCAATGCATTCTGTGGCACACTCTCTTAGTCAAAAATGGCATGCTTCTCCTCTTTATTGCTCAAGGCGACTGCCATATGCGAGGTCACAGCTCAGACTTGAAGTCTAGCCATCAGAAAATTTTGCCGGGAGCTGGCACTGGCACTTGATCCTGAACGAAGTTGCTGCCTTGATGTTTGATGGCTTTGATCCAGTATTCTCGAAGTTGCGTCCTCTTTCAATGCCTCTACACTTTCTTCCTGCACGGCCTGTTGAGGAATCGCGGAGTGTCAAGAGATGTAATGATGTATGATTTACTGACGCCTGGAAGCTTCTGCCTCTGCCGGTAGCTGTCCTAGAAACTGGATTCGAAGGAAGGCCACACCTGCGCCTCAAAGTCCTTCCAACCTTTGCCGGTTGTGATGTTCAAAGCAGGCGCAAACACAGTTGCCGGGGCTTGTGGGTTGAATTTTCTCCTCGGCTTGGCCCTGATCTCGGTGATGCTCGGTGATGCTCGGTGATGCTCACTGTTTGGGTGTTTGGGGGGGCAGGTTGGGCTCGGTTCAAGCATCGACGAAGAAGCTGGTAATGCTGGGCTGAACCCGAGGGCTTTGGAGGAGAACCAGATGGCATGGAGCAGACAGACTCCTGAAAGGGGCCGACGCAAGCATCAACCGATTGAATTGGAAGAGACATGCAGGAGTGTTTGCTGACAGCTTACATGTCTTGAGGCATTCTGTGACTGTACTAAGAGCGATCCAGAAACTTATGCGCGGCATGCTTGTCTGGAATTACGGGGAGTGGCGAAAACTGTGACAGGCGCGTGTTGCATGGTTCCTTTGCAGTTCGTTGTGGTGATGCTTCTTTTGCGAGTCTTGGGGTGTTGCGCTGTGGTCAACTGGGCCAATTAGCCAATCCTTTAACTTGGACCTATTCCCAGAGCACAGTGAGCACAGCACAGTGAGCACTTTATGAATCTTATGTTTTGTGGCTGGCAGGGCTACCGAATCGAATTTCCCTCATGGCATGACATGTCGCGCTGGGACTCTGGCAGTGCTCCCGGCGTGCTTCGGCCAAACTTGGTGGGAAAGTACGAGGAGGTCGTTCTTCTTCAGACTTTGCCACAGCCGCTGCAAACCCAGGACCTGCTTTTGCTCGGGCTGACAACTGGGTTAGAGCGGAACAGGGACCTTTCAAGCGCTTTGTGCCAGAGATTTACTGCCGTTCTTGTGCGAGAGACCGAGAGACCTTGTGAGGCCCTCTTGGATGACTTCAGCAGTGGCGTCAGTCAAAGCGAGGTCTCGCTTGTCTGTGGATCGCCCGGTGAGGTTGCGAATGAGCCCAAGAATGGACATCAGCTGTCAATCACTCATGGAGGAGATTATGACTGGCACTTCGACATGGATTACTTGTCACGGTGGGGTACTGACCGACTAGCGAAGACGGCGGTTTGGACGATGCATGCGCTCTACGGCAAGGACCAGCTGCGACAGCGTACGGCCTGGGCGTTGTCACAGATATTTGTTGTGGCAATCGTTGGTGACAACTATGCCGGGCAGAATGAGATGTGGATGAACCTTTACGATATCTTTGTCCGGCATGCATTCGGCAACTTTAGGGATGTGCTTCGCGAGGTTACGTACAACCCCATAATGGGAGACTACCTCACCTTCAAGCGAAATCGAGCTTTCGACGAGAGCAACAACTACCCTGACGAGAACTTCGCCCGGCGTCTTAAGTGCAACTAGAAGGTGGTTGGATAGTGATGTATATTGTTGGATTTGTTGGATTGGTTAGCATCTAATGCCTGGCACTGTAGCCGTCTTGATTCGCACAGCTGTGCCATTGTTTGGACGGGGAGGTGCAGGGGGCCTGACGGGTTTGCTGGGCCTTTGACCGGCAAGTCTGAGTCGCCACGGTACATGCCACGTGGTCTCAGGGTCATATTCAAAAAAGAAGTCGTGCATGCTACTTTCGTGTACAGATGTGTACAGCCGCGGAAGACTGCGCAATGCACCCAAGGGAGATTATGCAGCTCTTCACTATTGGCTTGTGGAAGCTGAACGAGGACGGCACGAGAATGAAGGATGCGGCAGGTCGGGACATCCCGACCTACAGCAACGAGCACATCATGAACTTCGCACGTGTGTTTACAGGCATTGTGCTGATACGGAGTGGGACAGGGTTCTAGTTAGTCTTTGCTTGACGATCTGCAAGAACATGTATGCACACTTCGTAAGTACCTATGAGATCACATGGTTGTGCAAAAGGTGCACGCTCGGTCAGGTTTCGATGAGCAGCCGGATAGAGACAACATTGAATGGGTTTGGAATCAAAACTTCATCGACCCGATGCGAATCCAGGCAAGAAGTGGATAAGTCCGTCTGCAGCATCTGAACAGCATTTGTGCAAGATCTGAGTTGCACAGTTGCAGGCCAGGTGGCATGACGTGTACCCCAAGCCGGATTTGGACAGTGGCTTTCTGGGGGATGGTTATCCTCTGTGTGCAGATCTTCCGACCGGCTACTTCTTGCGCAAAGGTATCTTGCCACATCTTGCCACTTCCAGCTGCCACGTGCAGTCTACATCATGTCAAGCTTCTCTAATTTTGGTTGTTGTGACCTGCTGAGGTGCTCGCTATGAATTCTTGGGGCACTCCTATTCAGGAACAGATGCAGCCCCTGCTGGATTGCATCCTTGTCTTCTTATCTTCTTAGAATTGGGAACATGGTTTTGGCTTCTTGTTTTTGAAGGAGTGTACAAGAAAAATATGAACGCGACAGTAGGTGAATGTCGCATAGTGGGAACCGGCGTTGCAGAAAACGCATCTGTTCGAGCCAGGTCTTGAACTTGACGACGGCCTCAGCACTTTTTGCGCAGCTTTGCAGCTCGAGCTTCTCGGCAGCAGCTCTCTGTGTTAGCACGCTTGCGGATGCAGCCGGACAGCGACGAAGAGTTCTTGACTGGCAGGTGGATCCACGTGCAGCTATCGTCCAGCAGTAGAACTGAGCCAGGACCTTGAATGCAGCAATCAAGAATGTGCAGTGGACACGGTCTTCGTTGTGCTCGTGGCTGGAGGCTCTGTCCTGCATGGCAAGAGTTCGTTTCCTCGTCAGAAACGTTGACTTTAGTGCCAAGCTCAAGCATGTGTTAGCCAGGCTACTATGAGTATGTGCCACCTGCGTGCACCAACATGTTTTTCTTCAACGGGCAGGTGGGTTGGTTGTGCTACGATGAACTGACATTGCAGTGAGGTCCATGGAAAGCAGCAGGAAGACGTATGTCGGGTCTGCACACCACGCCCTGGCAGGTCACGCGCAGAGGCGGACGAGCATGGGGCTGGACTGATGAATGCCAAGACCCGAATGCACCGGTTGCAGGCGCTTTGAACACAGAAGTGTAACCAATAGCGCGGCAGGCCAGAAGTGAACGTAGAGTGGCAGCAGTTCGGGCACAGTATGGCAGAGCGAAGGATCCGCCTGCTGTGGTGGATGCAAGAACCGCAAGGATTGGTGGTGGTTAGATTGGAAGAAGTGCTCTTGTGACAATGTGCCTCGGTCAAGTTTCAGGACGCCCAAGCGTTTCAGAGTTTTGGGGTCCATGGTGGCAATCCGAAGACCCCGCGCAGACACAGAAGCTCGGATCTGATTGAAGCAAGAGCCTAGGCCACGGTTGCCTGCCCGGAACTGTTTACAGAGAAGTGCCACCACGATGATTTGTGGGCGGAACACAAATGGTGCCGCCTGGCATGCTGGGAGCAGAATGTTGGATATGATGCTCGCCGGCACGTATGCCTTAGACATCAGCCGCAGCTTCAGAGCAGGGCGAGTCAAGTCAGGTGCAGCGTGGTTCCATAAAGTTCACGATAGCACATGATAGCACCCTGTTCGGCACCCTGATTCAGATGCTTCTGCGTTGATTCATATCCGTGGGCCGGGTTTCTGACAACCGAACTCAAGAAGTGCTGCCAGGAAGGTGATGATTGTACCAAAGGCTTGTGGCGTGGCGAGCGGCTCTGCGGCTATCCTATGGAGCGTGTGAGGATGGCCACGGCTCAGCGTCAGTGTGCAGATCGTGGCCTGGAGCTTTGTGCCAGGCTCAGGTAATCAAGCATATTCCAGCAACCTCCAAAAACCTAAAGCATACTGGGTGGCACCCGGTTGACAGCATTAAATGTTTCCTTTGATTTTGCGGCGATCTGCGGTGTGAGGTTGGGAGCGGCTCGAGGGGTACGAGTGTGACTATGATGAGGTTCCAGTATGGACTCCTGAACGCTGCAGCTATGAAGTTATCGTGCACTCTGATGGCAAAGTCAGCTCCAATTTGACCAGCCGTACCCGGCAGAATCGCTTCTCAGTGGCCTGGAAGACAGGGTATCCTGCGGTAACGTCAGGTTCATGCCCGGCTGGATGCAGGGTATCTGCGGATGCGTGCTCGTGCAGCCTCGCCGTTGAAGTCCGTGCGGTTTTTACACAGACTCCAACAGCCAACCAGCTGGACAGATTGAAGATCGGGTCAGTCAAACCTTCCGGCCAATGCACTCAAGCATGTTCTGGTCCCGTCCGGGTGTATTCTACCACTGGCATGCTGGATGCCGAGGCGGTGTTCGAGTCTGACGGCAAATTCTACAAGAACAAAGAAGTGATAGTTGTTGCCGGTGACAAATCTGCTGGGTTTGAGTTTCGAAACCCTCCAGCATTTGTCACTTTAGACAATCCAAGTGAAAGGGACGCTCATGCTGAAGTCGCGAGCTTGCTTGACCACCTCTTCCATCACAGCAACACAGCCCCGTTCATCTCGTATCGTCTGATCCAGCGGTTTGGCATGTCGAATCCTTCTGCAGCTTATGTTGAAGCAGTTGCACGAGCCTTCAAGACAGGACAGTATGATGGCCGGGTGTACAGTGGGGCAGCTCATCCTTGAAGAAAAGCAAGCTCACTTCATTTCATCATGTCCGGGGACAGAAGAGGTGAGGTTGAACGGTTGAACATGTTTCAACTTGTTTCAACTACTTTCATTTTTTGGGTTGGAAGTGCCTGCAGCTGAGGCCTACGGTGACCTCGGAGCTGCTGCAGCGGCTACGCTCCTCTTCCCTGAAGCACTTCGTCCGACGAGCTCCACGAGTGGATCTCTCAGAGAACCATTGCTGAAGGCAAGGTCACGAACCACGATGCTCTCGGCTTCCGTAGAGCTACAAAATGCTTCATTCCTCGATGGTGTGTGATTCTGCCCGCTGTGTAAAGCATGGAAGGTGATACATTTCATGAGGTCCATGGAGTACAAGGATCGCATCCTAGCTGCACTTTCGTGTCATCGGGTGCAATCTCAGTGCTCTGAGAGTGGTTGCAGTCTTGAGAGTCCAGACATTTTCTCGCAAGGTGTTGGACGTAATGTTCTGCTTGAGAACTTGATGCCTTTCATTGGCCAATTTCCATACCGCTCCCCATCAGTGTTCAACTTCTACTTGCCGGGTTTCAAACCCGCTGACTTTCCAGCTGAATTGGTCGGACCCGAGTTCCAGATCTTCACGCCTCCCATGGCTATCGGTTTGGCCAACGGGCTTACTTCGCTCATTGAGCTGGGCTTGGGCCCATGTTCTGGCGGTTTTGGTTTTGATGCACCTCAGAACTGCTCAAATGGCCAGCTACACTTGGGTGAATTGGAATGCTTGCAGCCGACCATCGACCAGCTGGATCTCCTACTCACAGGTGCCCCGCAAAATCGCAAGGGATTGACGTCTTTGATGCGTTTCAGTTTTTTGAGTGGCCATGGTCGTTCATTGCTTTCCCCACCTCCAAAAAGTTCTTGAGTGCCGTTCGCGATGGTGTGACGTTTGTGACTGACGGCTTGTTGCTCGGGCTCTGCGAGATTGTAGCAGTGAGGCTTTTTGTGACAGATGCCACCACTATCACATAGGGACATAGAGGTCTCATCCGCCACTTGCTAAGTAAGCTGTTGCACCAGATAGAGTCCAGCATGGCTGGCCTGCCGCTCACGTTGAAGGTGCGATGGGCTGTCTCCGGAGCAAGCATTGACGACATAGTCGCAGGCAGTCACGACACTGTGCAACATGTGGAAGAGCTTGTCTCTTCTCGTCTTGACACTGGCACTTCCATCAAACTCGTCTTCAATGATCGGATCTTGGAGGCGCATGACAGGCTCATTGATGTTGGCCTAGGCAACAACTGCACTTTAGATGTCGTTTGTCAGCGAATACAGATTTTCACTGCCTCCGCAGACAACACGATCAAAGTCTGGGGGGCCAGCCGCGGCGAGTGTCTGGCCACATTGAGGGGTCACACCTGCTCAGTGACGAGCTTGGCCCTCTTTGCTGACAATGCTCGTTTAGTTTCAGGATCTGAAGACAGCACGGCGCGCATTTGGGACTTGGAGAGTATGACCTGCAAGGTTGTTTTACATGCGCATGTGGAAGCTGTAAACGCAGTTGCTATCTCCCCAGACCAGACACTTCTTGCAACAGGTGGAGTCGATCGTGTGGCAATTCTTTGGAACGAGGAGGGCGCGCCCCTAATGGCGTTGGAAGGACACTGCGGAGCCATCCAAGCGGTTGCCTTCTCGCCAAAAGGCGCTACTATTATGACGGTCTCTTTAGACTGTACTGTGCGATACTGGAGCGCTCGAACGGGTGGCTGCGTACTGGCCGTACTGGCTCACGAGAGAGGTGTATACTCAGGCTCCTTCTCACATGATGGAACACTGAGTTTGACCAGCTCTGCTGATGGGTCTGCCAGAATTTGGAAGGCTGGAGCCGAGAAGCCACGGACGATCGGGACGGCACACTCTGGGTGCGTGTATGGCTCAGCTTTCTCTCCGAATGGTCGGCAGGCTGTAACGTCAGGATGGGACAGGCAGGGCAAAGTCTGGGACCTGACAAGTGGACGATGCGTACAAACTCTGCGAGAGCACAAGGGGCCTGTGTATTCAGCCTGCTTTTCTCCAGATGGAGCCGCAGTCCTCACAGCGGGCAAAGACGGCTCCGCAAAGCTGTGGTCTGTCGCTTCTGGTCGTGTCAATTTGACTCTGTCGGGTCATGACGGACCAGTTCTGTGTGCAATCTTCAGCAATGCCTGAACAAAAAGGAAACGTGCTTTTCATGCCAGGCCCGATGTAGAGAGCAACCTACGAACCCCAAGTCGTTCAAAGTCGGTCAAGCTCTGGTTCAAACGGCTCTGTGCACCATGTTGGGCTAGGCAAGGCCGGCCTTGCACTAGGCAACCCACCGTCACCCGACCGAGAGACTAAGCGTTGAGCCTTTTTAGGGCTGAGAGTTGTTGTGTGGGCTTTTGTTCGATTTTGTTTGCAAGGGGGACGACTCCATGACTCGGCGATGATCCGCAGTGCTTGGCAGGGTGCAGAAGGTGGCCAAGAGTACAAGACTGCACAGCAACTTCAGGGCAGAATCACAACTTTTGCCATATTGTGACCTCAGTCAAAGCATCTCAGTCGCAGCATTGCAGTGTGCATTCATCTCAGTGAGGATGGCCATGGTGATGACCCCGGAGTTCCACACGCTCGGAGATCCTCTCCCTGCGGGTCCGCGAAGTCCGAAGCCAACACCAGTCATTAGCGATCCACGCTCCTACAAAGCTCTCATCATGGTCTTCTTGAACGGCGGTGCTTCTCAGTCAGCTAAGTCAGCTACATTGATTCCATGTGATCCCGTTTGGCGCAACTGGACACTGCTTTGCGAAGCAAGCTGTTCTGCGTGTTTCATCCTGAGGTGCTGACACATTCAACATGTTGGTTCCAATGAACTGCGCGCTCTATGATGAGTATCAAGAAGTTCGAGGTTGCGACGTAGAACCATGTGCATCCGTGTGCATCCGTGTGCATCCGTGTGCATCCGTGTGCATCCGCATGCATACAAAGTTTCTCTCATTTTGCACCCGCGCTTCCTGCCGCATGTGTCCCCGCCCGTGGCTGGATTTGTCCCGGTGTCCCTGTGGAAATTGGTTTGTCTACCACTTGAACAATGTTTAGCATCGCTTACCTGCTTTGCTTTCAGATGGGAAAATCGAAGGAATCTCACCAGGCGCAATGGCTTTGTTTGGCTTGCCCAGCTGCAGCGACCTGTAGGAATCTCCTGTTTCAAGAGATTTCAAGACGCTTTCCCCTGTTCTGCACTTAGCAGCACCTAACACGAAACAAAGCCCGAAGCACGTCCAGCAGCGGAGCAGCAGCTCGGCCCCAAGGGAGGCTGGCGCTAGCATCGCTAGAAGCAGCGCTATCAATATGTGCACGAACTTGGGTTTGCCACAGGCCCGAACGTTTGTAGGCCTGGGGGTTTAAATCGCACGCTTGCAACCTAGACCCTCAGCCCCTCAAACTCAACCCAAATCGTTCCCCCAAAACATGTGGCTGGCCCGCGGAGCCATATGTGACTTTCCAGATGCGTGATACTGCAATTGAAACTCACTGTCAACTCCACTACGCCTCATGTAATTCATGTTTGCTGGGTAAACGTGAGTTTCACATGCGAATATACTACTTGCCCATCTCCTGTATGGGAGGCATTTTAGTGTGTCTGCAGCTTTGCTGATCTTGGTGCCATTGCCTGACATCAAGTGTGTAGAAGCTTGGATGTGCAGCGGATGCCGCAGTGCCCTATTCATACAGCTCCTTGTACGAATTCCTCGTGAGCTCCCGGCAGGTTCTGTGGCGCTGTCGCCCTCGGAAATGAACCAGATCAGCACGGAGGGGCAGCCCTGTGCGGACTTTGGCATTCATGCTCGGCTACCAGTTCTGAAGGAGCTCTATGACCTAGGAGAAGCAGCGTTTGTCAGCAATGTGGGCTCTTTGGCAGCTCCTTTGAGCAAAGCTCAGTGGGAGAATGGCGCAGGAGAGCGTCGCTTGTCCCGTTGAAGTAGCATGCAGCAACAGTTTTAAGCTTGACAAGTCTGGCAACGGTAGCGCCATGACCCTGACTGAACTTAGGTTGCACTGGCCTCTTCTCACATTCAGATCAGCAGCAGGCAGCTCAAACACTAACCTGCCAAAGCGCTGCATCGGCATCGAAAGGTGCTGGCGGTCGCCTTGCAGAGTCTTGCCAAGGAGACAAAGATGGGCTGTTATGCCCGATGCTTGCATGGGGCATGGATCTCCGCTGTCTCTTGTGCCTTTAAGGATGCATTGGGTGCAAGCAGCCAGAAGTACAGAAACTTGGCATTTACTGTAAGAGTTCCCGTTGTGAATCTGAGCACCAGGTAGATCCAGGCGGCCCGACACGAGACTATCGGATGTGTAACATGATGTAACATGCTTCCGGCATCGATAGGAGCACCTGCTCGGACCATGCTGCCCTTCAGGGCCTTGAACTGCATGAAAAATCGTCTCGGCTGGGTCCGCGGGTCCGCCCGTATGGTCGTGGAACTTCTGGTGATCACCCGTTGCTCAAGTTGACCGATGACCTGTCGACCGCCACTAGTGGGCGCGCAAAGGGCACATCGTTCGAACATCGCCAACACGGTCTCACACGTTGGCTCCGGCGAGGGGCGATCGTCCATCAATGCATGAGCGTCTGTTACAGTCACCGCTGTTTCCTTCCTCATGCTGACATGCCGACGAACTGGGGTGGCTCGAACCATGGGCGGGTTGGGGCAGCCCTGTGCTTGGCCTCGATTATCGCGGCGGATGTCGTGCATGCACGAACCTGCAGTGGTGCATAAACGTTTTCGTGTTGCAGCCGATTCACCCCTGTCCACCCAGATGCTTTGAAGATGCTTTGTGTGTATTTGTGTCTATTTCACCGTGTCGTTGTTGGACGTGTTTGGGCTTGGTTTTCTTCTTTGAAGGCTTGGCTTCCTTGACTGTCATGTCGTGTGTAGCCTTCTTTACTCGCAGTGATTGATATGCAGTCTGTGTAGAGCCTAACCGTTGCAAAGTAGACATCGCAAATTCATCTTCCAACTCTTGCGGGATGCTTTTTTTGGTGGAGAGTCTCTGGCAGCTTGTCTGTGTTCTGTGTTTTGTTCTCATTCCCAGAGAGATCGAGGAACCATGTCGTTCTCGGTGGCTGGTATGTCGACATGGCCACAGGGCGTGGAAACGGCTGCAGAGATCATTGACCAGCGTTCAGGACTGCTGCCAGCACCAGCTACGAATGCAAAGAAGAAGCGCCGTGAGGAGAATCTTCTCACTTAGGCTTGCTGGGGTATCGGGCTGATGATTCGGGGGGAGGTTTGTCGCATCGCTGAAATAGGATGTGTTCGCATGCAGGAACAAGAGCGCGATTGGTTTCTTCATAAGAACGTCTTTCAGATGTTGTCCGTGTGACATTTGGAAGTGGGGGTAGCAGCTGTGCGGGGCGCATTAGTGGCAAAAGGTTAAAGCAGGCAAGAATGGCCACGGTTCTGCTGCAATAGTAGCCCGAAACAACAAAAGGCTGGATCTGTTGCAGAAAATGGCAGCAATTGCGTCAACTTGTCAACAGGAGCAGAATCACCATCACCTTTCGGCCTGTCACCTGCTAGTCACCCTTCATTGGTTAACTGCTATGGGACCAGGTGTTGGGTGAAGAGTGCATCCAAAACCCGTTCATTCGAAAGCTGGAGCGAGGAACAGTGAAGTTCGAGAACTATGAGCGTCTCAAGACCGTGATCAACAATATCACGAGTGTCCAGCATGGCAACGTCTACGCGGAGGCTGCCAGTGTTGAGTGGACATCTCCTGTCATGTGAGGTATTGCATCGCAATGACACATGTTTGCCGGTGTTCCGTGACCTGCGTATCTGAGGAATTTGCACAAAAGTTCGCGGAATCGATCAAGTTCAACGAGGATGCTGAGACCATTGTGCAGTAGTTCGTCGGTGTGTTTTGAAGTGTTGAGTGCCACACGCATGTGTTCTATAGGAGAGAGCATGTGAAAAATTGAGTTGTTTTAATCTCTCTCTTTCCCTTTCTCTCTCTCTCTTCCCTCTCCCTTCTCGCTCACAATCTCTCTCTCTCTCTCTGCTCTCTCGCGCTCTATCTCCTCTCCGTTTCTCTCTGTGTCTCTCACATGTGACCGAATTGTTGCAGTCTGCCAGAGTCCAGAACCGCGGAGGGGACTTGTAGAGGGGACCGGCAGAGGGGACCGATGGACACCTAGTAAAGACATCGTACAGACATCGTAGGCAATCTTTCTGAGCAATCTTGGATGAAACCAAGAAACCAGGCTTCTCGGCTTTTCCTTCAGGAGCTGGACAAGCAATTGAAGACGGCCAAGCTCAAGACTTCGCACCTCTGTTTGCACTTTGGCAGTCTTTGGCCGCACGGCCCGGCGTACTTTCTGAGGTATCCCACCAACGAGCTGGAACTTTCCAGGCAAGGCATTGGGAGCGGAGACTTGTGTCTATTGTCAGTTTCCGATGGATTTCACGGGAGTCTGTTTCCTTTGAACACAGCATCACGCAGCAGCGTGTGAGATAGGAACCGATGTGAAAGCCGGGCGTTCCCAGCTCAATGAGCCCACTTCCTCATGCTTCCGCATGCTCCTGCTGTTCTCTGAAGTTGGCATTTGCAGATGTTATGTCGGAGGCAGCTCAAGCAAGTCGCGCGCCTCATTGCCGCACGCGTTGAGCGCAAGGCAGAGCGAGACGTTTTCTTCGTGTCCCGGATAATTTGGATGTCGAGTTCAAGAAGAAGAACAGAAGCTTTGAAATTTTTCGCCTCATTTATGAACATGGCTCTTCGGCAGTAGTTACACCCAGGTGGAGATTGGTGGTTGGGACACGCAACTGGATTCAACAAGTGCAAGGTCTTTGGTACTGTGACCTCTTCTGGTCGAGCTGTTGTGCCGCAGTGCACTGTCAACTTTGACTCGACTGCGAGAGCTGCCTTGTAACATTTGTCAGGTTTGCAGTAAGAATTGGCAGTAACCCATGCCCAGGCATTCCAGTGTCAGCCAAGAGCTCAACAATCGGTTCGCAGAGCTGAACGATGCGTTGCAAACCTTCGTCAGCGAGATGAAGGCTGGACCTCCCATGAACCGCCGCTTGTTGGGGAGCCTCTGCTCCTAAGTCTGCTGCGCTCTGCTACTGTTCCCGTATTCGAGGCTCAGGAGATTTTTGGTTCCACCACATTGCTCACACACTCTGACTTTGCACGGACATTGACTCCAAATAGCACGGGCCCCAGTCACATCCAACCAGTTGTGACTGATTGCGAATGCTTGGACTGCAACGAGACGCCAGGAGTACATGAAGCCAAGCTCCTTGCAGCTCTTGTCGCAGGTGGTGATGGGACGGATCATGGCTGGGGCGGCAATTATGTGATGCTGGGAGGCACATGGGCAGCCTTGGTAATGGGATCGGTTGATCAAGCGTTGCTCTGACCGGCACTCGCCTTATTTGTGACGTCCACATGTTTTCACCTCTCACTCGGCAAGACATGGTACACATATAGGCGCAAATGAGAACTCTGATGCATCATCACGTTTTTTGAATGGCTTGATGTATGTCGCAGACATTGAAAACTAGAACTTTTTGAGGTGTAGAACCAGCTCCACAGCTACTGGCAGTGAACGCAGCATGCGCAGGATCGTCAATGAAACCCCACAGCTTGGAATATCTAACGCCAAGCGCACCAGCAAAGCGTGACCAATCCGCGAAAAGTCCTTTTCAGGATGGGGCTTGCAAACTTCACATCCAACACAGCAGGCCGTTGCTGAAGCAAGTTCTGCATTGCCACAGAAAACAACAACATCATGTCTGGGGTGGTCGTTTATACTTGGTCATGTGTCTTTTTTGGAAGGCAAATCGCATCATGAAATGGACGGCTTTTAAACTGGGATCCTCCTCCATTGTGTCGGCAACGCTATCGGGCTTTGCGATCAGATGCCTTTCCCTTTACAGCAATGAAGAATCTCATCCTGAGAGGGGGTAGGTTTTAGGCGCGTACTTTAGTATCTGATTTTCCGCATAAGCATACGACTTTTCTTGGACAGTCGGACTCCGCCTTAAAACTTGTTCAAATGTGGCCAGATTGAGGTGTATGGAATTGCACATGAAACGCGAAAAGCGTAGAAGCACATGATTTGACAATGTAGTCACGAGGTGAAGAAGGTACAATAGTTCGTAGCACACGGGGCAATGCGCTTCGGGGAACAGACGACTTCTCTGCACAGAGGATAATCGCAGTTTTCCAAGAACCGGCATGGGGTTGCCAGGTGCAGTGAATGGTGGCCGCATCTACAACGATTTTCCGGCATCTTTCAAGGAAGGCAGCGCCCAGGCGTGTGGTAAGTCATGACTTCAGAACACTGATGTGTTCACCAACGTATGAATCGAAAGAAGACGGCACGAGAGATTCTTTGAACCGAGAAGTGTAGATAGCTGCGGAGAGGATGCCGGACGCGGTCGTCTCATCCCCAAGTACCCCTGGGAGAATATGACGCTTGGCTGGGGTTTCTGAATGGGTAATTCGCAGGGAAGAAAGCAACTTTAGTAAGCTCAACTCCACATGCCCAGGATGTTACCTGTCGCGGAATGGATGGGCATGGAAGATACACAGACGTCAGAGGTCTTTCCCAACATTGCAGCCTTCAACTCGACGTTGCTGATGCGGGCTTCCACGCTGTTTACGGCAGCAAGCTAACTCAGCTATGCGTACGGAATTGTACAAGCAGCATCTTGTCTTAACATTCTCGGCCGAGGATGATATGGCAAACATGGGGGGCTATGGGGGCTGTTTTTGTCCTCACCCGTTGGTTGAGTTGTCAAGGCATGCTGCCGGCTTTGTTTCGACATACAGGCGGTGCATGTCAGAGTCCCACAGCAATCGGATGGGTCGCCTCTGCACCACCGTTGCAGGTCGACCGTGGGCTTCATGCTGATTGTTTGACCACTTGCATTTCACAGCTACTGAACATGTGAACTGCGAGAGTTACAGTGCAAATAGTGCAAATTTGGGCCTGTAGGCTTGGCTTGGCAGCTTGGGGCTGGGCAGGTTGACGCTCCAACTGGTGAAATAAAGATGTGGGCATAAGTCATTCGTCGTCAACGTGCCAGGCCACACAAAGGATTGCATGAATCAATTCGATCGTGAAGCCTTTTGAACCACGACTAGATCGAAGCCAGGAAAGCAGAAGCCGGCATCTGACAATTCGCAACAAACAGTTGCCTTCATATTTCAGTGTGCTCTCCGCGCAGTCTCTATGTAGCGGGGTCATTTGCGCAGATGGCTCACATGAGTGTTTCAGTAGTGTTTCCAGACATCTCCCGTGCCAAAGGCTGCCGGGTGATATGGCGTGGTGCAAATATCATTGCAGAAGCGAGGGAACTCAGGATGTGGATTGAATATTCGCGAAACTGTCTCATCTTGGTTTTTGTACCGTGTAAACCGTTCAGGGCCTTCAGGAAAATTTCCACCCATCATGCAGGTTCTGGATATTTGGACATGTTGCAATGCTTGCGCTGCTTGCACTTTTGATCTATGGGTACCACAAAATGTGTCGGCAGACTCCACAGCTGCGGGAAGGCAATCGAGTCGAAGTTTGCCGCGGTTTCTTCCCGAGTTGCGGCCGTGGAGCAACAATCCAGACTGGCCTCGGAACGCCAGACGAAAGAGCTGGAGGCACGGATTTCTGGGCAGAGCATGATCTGTCTATTCTGTCCGTGGTGCTTTTAAACGGCTGCATCAGAGGCCATGGCTAAGGAGCGCTCTCAGCACTTTGCCTTGGCCGGGGGACCTAAGGGTGACCTAGGGGCACAGAGCAAGGGTGATAGTCAAGTCGGGAAAAGTACACATGAGTCACGCCAATGTGAGTCGAGAACGTGGCCCGGGTCGAAAACGACCGGGAACCCTGAGTCGAAACCTTCACGGACCCGCCCCCAGAAAACACAGTCGAAAACTGCACCCCGATCAGAAAACTCGACCCCTGCCGCTCTGCCGTCCGGTGTTGTTCGGCCTGACAGCTACAAAATGTCCCTCTACTCGAAGATAGGGGGATGAAATGTAGCCGTCTATGAGAGACGTCGATAGACCCCTATACAGACCCTATGGGTTTTCCGATAGGTACCTATGCCGTCAACCAATTCTCAGCATACCAGACCTCGAACCATGCGCGATTCAGAAACTGGACGCGATTCAGGAAACCAGGGTTCAGGAAACCAGGATTCAGGAAACTGCGCGATTCAGGAAACCAGGATTCAGGAAACCACGCGATTCAGGAAACTGCGCGATTCAGGAAACTGTTTTCCCGCGATTCAGGAAACCGCGGTTCAGGAAACCACAAGATTCAGGAAACTGAAAACACGCGATTCAGGAAACCACGCGATTCAGGAAACTGACAGCACGATTCAGGAAACTGCGCGATTCAGGAAACCAGCGGATTCAGGAAACCACGCGATTCAGGAAACTGCTCGATTCAGGAAACTGCGCGATTCAGGAAACTGCACGATTCAGGAAACTGCGCGATTCAGGAAACCACGCGATTCAGGAAACCATGCGATTCAGGAAACCGCGCGATTCGGGCCTGTTGAAATGTGGGGGGCTGCTTTGTGACACTAACCGTTCAAGCGCATTGGGCTCCAGCAGCCATTCAAGCAACAGCATTGGGCTCCAGCCTGTTGAAACTGGGTCTCGGAAAAGGGGGATGATAGCGTCCAGGACAAGGCTGCTTTGTGACACTAGCCATTCAAGCGCATTGGGCTCCAGCAGCCATTCAAGCAACAGCATTGGGCTCCAGCAGCCATTCAAGCAACAGCATTGGGCTCCAGCCTGTTGAAACTGGGTCTCGAGGGGGGGGGGATGATAGCGTCCAGGACAAACCTTTCAAGCAACAGCATTGGGCTCCAGCAGCCCTTCAAGCAACAGCATTGGGCAACAGCATTGGGCTCCAGCAGCCATTCAAGCAACAGCATTGGGCTCCAGCCTGTTGAAACTGGGTCTCGAGGGGGGGGGATGATAGCGTCCAGGACAAGGCTGCTTTGTGACACTAATAACCATTCAAGCGCACTGGGCTGCAGCAGCCATTCAAGCAACTGCATTGGGCTCCAGCCTGTTGAAACTGGGTGTCACGGCGGGGGGGGGGGGGGGGGGGGGGGGGGGGGGATGATAGCGTCCAGCACAAGGCTGCTTTGTGACACTAACCATTCAAGCAACAGCATTGGGCTCCAGCAGCCATTCAAGCAACAGCATTGGGCTCCAGCCTGTTGAAACTGGGTCTCGGGGGGGGGGGGATGATAGCGTCCAGGACAAGGCTGCTTTGTGACACTAACCATTCAAGCAACAGCATTGGGCTCCAGCAGCCCTTCAAGCAACAGCATTGGGCTCCATCCTGTTGAAACTGGGTGTCGGGGGGTGGGGGTGGGGGATGATAGCGTCCAGGACAAGGCTGCTTTGTGACACTAACCATTCAAGCAACAGCATTGGGCTCCAGCAGCCCTTCAAGCAACAGCATTGGGCTCCAGCCTGTTGAAACTGGGTGTCGCGGGGGGGGCGGGGAGGGGGGTTGCGGGGGGTTGGGGGGGGGGGGGAGGGGGGATGATAGCGTCCAGGACAAAGCATTGGGGTATAGCCTGTTGAAAGTCGGGGGGGGGGAGGATGCGCTATCATCCAGGACACGGCTGCTTTGGGCTCGCCCGATCCGGTAATTGGAATCCACACGAATCCGGTTCCTCCAATCCGCGGTTTCCGAATCCGCGTTTTCCAGTTTCCTGAATCAGCTGGTTTCCGAATCCGCGTTTCCAGTTTCCTGAATCAGCTGGTTTCCGAATCCGCGTTTTCCAGTTTCCTGAATCAGCTGGTTTCCGAATCCGCGTTTTCCAGTTTCCTGAATCAGCTGGTTTCCGAATCCGCGTTTTCCAGTTTCCTGAATCAGCTGGTTTCCGAATCCGCGTTTTCCAATCAGCTGGTTTCCGAATCCGCGTTTTCCAGTTTCCTGAATCAGCTGGTTTCCGAATCCGCGTTTTCCAGTTTCCTGAATCAGCTGGTTTCCGAATCCGCATTTTTCAGTTTCCTGAATCAGCGGTTTCCAGTTTCCGAATCCGCGTTTTCCAGTTTCCTGAATCAGCTGGTTTCCGAATCCGCGTTTTCCCGTTTCCTGAATCAGCTGGTTTCTCGAATCCTGGTTTCCCGAATCCGCGTTTTCAGTTTCCGAATCCGCGTTTTGTAGTTTCCAGAATCAGGGTTTTCCAGTTTCCGAATCCGCGTGTTTCCAGTTTCCGAATCCGCGGCTGACCCCAGACCTCTATGCAAAGGCCTTGTCTCCTTTCCTATAGACCCCTATGCATAGACCCCTATGCAGAGACCCTACCCCTACCTATACCACCCCCTATGTCGCAGAAGCCCCTGTGCATTTTTCTGTAGGCTCTATTGCCCTCATCATCGACCCGATTCGGAAACCTATCGACCCCTATGCCATATCAATCCTTATTCTCATATACCTGCAAGCCTTTCAACGCATCCCTAAACATCGTAATCTATGTTCTTGATAACCTGCATGCGTGTTCAGTTTCAATACACGTGACCCACAGTGCAGCAGAGACCTCCCCTCTGGAATTAGATGAGGGTTCAGGGTTTCTGGGGTTTAGGGTTTTGGGGTCTTTATGGTTGATGGCGTTTTAGGGTTTAGTTTGTTTTTTTGGGTTTTCAAGGTTTAGGGTCTTTTTTGAGGGTTTAGGCTTTAGGGGTTTTGGGGTTGAGGAGTCCTTAGGGTCTAGGTGTTTTTGGGTTTAGGGCTCAGGGGTTTGTAGGGGTTAGGCATCTGGGGTTTTCAGGGTTTAGGGTTGGTTTTTTTTGGGTTTAAGGTTTAGGGTTATTAGGGTTTGGGGCGTAGTGTATTTTAGGGTTTAGGGTCTTTTTTTGTACGGTTTAGGGGTAAGGGGTTTTCAGGGTGTAAGGCTTAGGGTTTTTCCGAGTTCTCAGGGGTTTTCAGGGGTTGTTGGGTGCTCAGGGTTTTGTAGGGTTTAGGGTTTAGGGTCTTTTTAGGGTTTAAGATTTTTGGGGTTTGGGTTAATTTGGGTTTAGAGTTTAGGTGATTTTAGGGCCCAGGGCTGCTTAGGGTTCAGGGTTTAAGGTTTTAGGGTTGACGGCGTTATTTGGGGTTTGCAGGTTTTAGGGTTTAGGGTTTTGTTAAGGGTTTAGGGCTCAGGCTGTTGGATTTCTCCAGGGTGTTTTCGGGTTTATGGTTTAGGTCTTTTCCGGGTTTAGGGTTTAGGGCTTTTTAGGGTTTAGGGTGTTTTACGGTTTTCGGCTTGGGGTTTTAGGGTTTGGGTATCTTCGGGGCTTAAGGATGAGGAGTTTTTTGGGTTGAGGGCTTCGGGGGTTTTGGACGGTTTTAGGGTTTTGGGTTTTTTAGGGTTTAGGGGTTTTCAGGCTTAAGGGCTTAGGGTATTTTGAGAGTACAGGCTTCGGGAGGTTGCTTGGGTAGGGACCTGTCTGAAAGGGATCCGGAACACACGCTGGGTTCAAAACAAAACGTGGGGGGGGGTTGGGGGGGGGCGCAGCCCCCGCCATTTGCAAACACAATGCTCGCATGATGCAAGCTTGCACGGCTTAACAGGGGGTGGGGGTTGGGGCAGCCCCCCTCGTTTAAGCTTTACGTTTCTTGAGGGTTTAGGGTTTTGGTGTTTTTAGGTTTTGTTTTTTGAGTTAGGTCTGAGGAATTTTTAGGGTTGAAGGTTTAAGGTTTTTTAGGGTTTAGGGTTTAGGGCTTTTCAGGGTTGAGGGTTTAGGGCTTTTTAGGGTTTAGGGTTTGTAAGGTTTACGGCTCAGGGGGTTTTAGGGTTTAGGTTTTTTCGGGGCTTAAGGATGAGGAGCTTTTAGGGTTGAGAGCTTAGGGGTTTTTAAGACGGTTTTAGGGTTTAGTGTTTTTTAGGGTTTAGGGGTTTTCAGGCTTAAGGGCTTAGGGTATTCTGAGAGTATAGGATATAGGGGTTAGGAGGTTTTTAGCTTAGGGGTTTACAGGGTACCAATAGCAGGGGGTCGTTGGGGGGGGCCCAGCCCCCGCCATTTGCAAACACAATGCTCGCATGATGGATTTGAAAACAACAAAAACTTCTTAAGCAAGCTCAGCTTGCGCGGCTTAACAAGCGGGGGGGCGGGGGGTTGGGGCAGCCCCCCCTCCCATTTGCAAACACAACACTCCCAGGGTTTAGGGGTTTTTAGGGTTGGGGTTTAGGGTTTAGGTTTAGGTGTTTTTAGTTTAGAGGGATTTAGGGTTGGGGGTTTTGTTAGGGTTTAGGGTTTAGGCTTTAGGGTTTCTTGAGGGTTTAGGGTTTTGGGTTTTTAGGGTTTAGGGGTGTTTAGGGTTCAGGGTTCAGTGGGTTTTTGGAGTTTAGGCCTTAGGGATTTTCAAAGTTTATGTTTCAGGGGATTTCAGGGTTTAAGGTTTATCAGGTCCCTACGCCTAGAAAAACCTCAAGCCCTAAACCATAAAAACCCCTCCACCCTAAACCCTAAAACCCCCCCGAACCGAAAACCCCTACACCCTAAAGACCTCTAAGCCTAAATCCTAAACCCGAAAAAATCCCTATATCCAAAACACCCCTGAGCCCTAAACCGAAAAACAACTTAAACCCTCCTCCTAACCCTTATATCCTGAAGCCCTTAACCCTGAAAAGCCCTAAGCCCTAAACAACCCGAAACCCTAAAACCGTCTGCACACCCCTAACCCTCAACCCTACTAAAGCCCCCTAAGCCGTAGACCCTAAAAAGCCCAAAAACCTAAGCCTAAACCCTGAAAGTGGGCGCACCCCCCCCCACACAATGCCGCATGGTGGGCTTGAAAAACCACAAAAACTCTGAAGCAAGCTTGTGCGGCTTCACAAGCGGGCAGGGGGGGGGGTTGGGTGCAGCCCCCCTCCCACTTGCAAACACAACACACATGATGTGTTCGAAAAAGATTAAAGCTTACTTAAATCGCGTTTTCACATCTACATCTTACACGAAACGCTATGCAACAAAGGTTCTTGGTCAGGAACCTCGAGACATCCGACGTGCATAGGGGCCTATCTGAAGACGATAGCGGTCTATCGCTCGCATGCTCGTTCTCGACCTTTCATACTGTCTGGAAACTGGCAAGTTTTCGGAAACTCTGGCCTCTAGTCACTGCTGACCAAAGTCAACTTCCCGCGCGCGAGAGCCGTATGTGAGGGGCCAGCATGGGGGCAGAAAGTCCGGAATATGGTATTTTTCAAGTTTCAAATTCGTTTCCATAGTTTCAAATTAGTTTCCAATCAGTTTCAAATTAGTTTCAAAATCCAGTTGCAAAATCGCTGTTAAGGGGGAATTGCAGTTTTTGTCCGCGCTTTTTGAAAACCAGGAACCTCTGAGATTCCTTCATTTTTTGAATTGCGCGTAGAAAAATGCAGTTTCCCCTTAACAGCGATTTTGCAACTGGATTTTGAAACTATTTTGAAACTAATTTGAAACTACGGAAACGAATTTGAAACTTGAAAAACGCGGCATTTCTGCTCTTTGGCGCTTGGCCACAACCGAGCAAGAGGAGAGCTTCGGCTTGCTGCGAAAAGTACATCTCCGACATTCTTCCGAAAAGCCATTGCAGCAACAGCGCTTGCCAAGGCAGCCACGCAGTCACAAGTCAGTAAGTAATCTTGTCCCCAGTTTCCAGACTGTCTGGAAACTGGCAAGTTTTCGGAAACTCTGGCCTCTAGTCAATGCTGACCAAAGTCAACTTCCCGCGCGCGAGGGCCGTATGTGAGGGGCCAGCATGGGGGCAGAAAGTCCGGAATATGGTATTTTTCAAGTTTCAAATTCGTTTCCATAGTTTCAAATTAGTTTCCAATCAGTTTCAAATTAGTTTCAAAATCCAGTTGCAAAATCGCTGTTAAGGGGGAATTGCAGTTTTTGTCCGCGCTTTTTGAAAACCAGGAACCTCTGAGATTCCTTCATTTTTTGAATTGCGCGTAGAAAAATGCAGTTTCCCCTTAACAGCGATTTTGCAACTGGATTTTGAAACTATTTTGAAACTAATTTGAAACTACGGAAACGAATTTGAAACTTGAAAAACGCGGCATTTCTGCTCTTTGGCGCTTGGCCACAACCGAGCAAGAGGAGAGCTTCGGCTTGCTGCGAAAAGTACATCTCCGACATTCTTCCGAAAAGCCATTGCAGCAACAGCGCTTGCCAAGGCAGCCACGCAGTCACAAGTCAGTAAATAATCTTGTCCCCAGTTTCCAGACTGTGGATGGACAAAATCTTGCATGACCATCTACGTTACACGTGTGCGACGGTTGGCAATCGAGCTTCCCGCGCCCCTCGAATTTCAATGTTGCGTGCGCATATGGGTGATGCAGGATTTCGGTCATTCACACACATGCACGTTCGAACCATTGCAAGGACAGCAATGTTAAGATTCAGGGTTTGGAAGGGATGACATGCGTAGTAAAAGTGATGCAGGATTTCGTCCATCAACAGTATCTCCGTTCACATCTCTAAACAATACACATGTCAGTCTTCCATTGGAGCTTCAAGAATACATCTCTTAACGTTTCGTTGCAGAGGTTAATCTTTCTGTGCATAGGGTGGTTTTCTGACTCAGTCTTTGGTTTTGTGACTCGTGTGTGCTCGGTTTTCTGACCCACGCCTTTCCATTTTCTGACTCGGTCCTCCCGGTTTTGACTTGGTCCTGCGCGTTTTCGACTCGTTTTCCCGACTCGACGGTCACCCCACAGAGCAATGACAGACTTGCAGATCGTGGGAGAAGAGAGAAGCTTTCTTGTCGCCGAGTTGAAGAGCCGCATCGAGCGCATGGAGACTACAGAGCGGGACCTGTCCAGGAGCACTTCACTTGCTTCACTCGGCCCTTTTCCGTCTCTGCTTCGTGCCCAGGCGGGTTGAGCACATTGATGCGGCCGCAGGGGAGCTCAAGGTGGTTCACACGAGCTTGCGATGCTGTTGTTACCTTGCTGCAACGGTCCGGCCAGGAGAAAACCAAGCTACAAATGAAGATGCTCGAGGCGGACAACAGCTTCTATTACCGACTCTCTTTCTTCCTATTCTTCGTCATCGTGCCTTTATAGTATCCCAACGCATGCTGCAAGCATAGCGCATGCGAGGAGGTGGAAGATGGGATTCACAAGGCTACGTCTGCCATGAAGCAAGAAGCAGTGTGGGCCTTGGGAGCAGTAATTTTGTGTCTGCTTTGTAGCCAGAATCTATCTCGAAAAACTGGTTGGTGGTGTACTTGTTGTCAGATGAGGTTGCTCGGGAGAGAGCAATGGAGGACACTCAAAGAGTGGCCAAACAAAACATGCAGACCGAGATCGCCCAGCTGGATCAGATTTCCGACTTCATTATGTGTCGAAGAAAACTTGTGATGTGTCAAGGTTACCTATCTGATTTTGCGCTTGCGCCAAGGAAACTGACCAAGCTGACGTCAGATTGTGTGGAAGCAAGCAAGGCAACCGAGCTGGTCTGAATTTGCCTTCGTTGCATGTCTCAGACTTTCTTCGTCAACGCAGGCCGAGCTACTTCAGGAGCTTTCTCATCAAGTTGGAACTGTCCAGCAGCAAAACGCAGCAGCATTGAAGAAGTTGGATACCGATCTGAAGTTGAACATCTCGACAACACAAGCGAATGTCGAACATCAGCTCAACTTAAAGCTTCAGGACATGCAGCAGAATTTGCAGAGCTTCCTCCGAAAGCAGGATACTGCCTTGCAGCAGCGTTTCGAGAAAGAGTTGGAGACGAATGCAGCATCTTTGAAACAGCATCAGGATGTCCTCACTGGTCGGGTGGATGGCATCAAGGCTGATCAGGTTATGCTTAGCAAGGCACTGGAAAATGCCGGGAAAGATCTGCACGCCTGTCAAGAGACGCAGGCCACGTTGTTCACATTCAAGGAGTCGATGGATCGTCGAATGGGCGAGCTTTCAGTGGACCTGCAGCGGATGAAAATTAGCCAGGAAGCAGCTCTGTCGCACAGCGCAGTCGAAGAGAAGATAACTTCCGAAATCCGGTCCTTGAGGGAGGGAATTGATAGCATCAAGCATACTGTGGATGGAAACGAGAGGGCCGAGAGGGCTGAGCGGGCGCCATCAAGGCCGTGTTCACCTTCAGGTGATGCAAGGTCAGTCGGGCCACTGTTGAGACCAATGTATGTTCGCCCGAATGTTGCGACACCTGCAACTCCCACGCAGGCGTGGCCGGGAAGGGTGCCTGTACAGCCTGTGCGATCTATCAGTCCGCCGAGTCATGCAGTTCAGCCGGTGCCGGTTCAGCCGGTTCAGCCGGTTCAGCCGGTTCAGGGCCATGTTCAACAGGCAGTGCCGGCAGCATTTCTGCCCAGACCTCCTGCACCTGCGAGTCCCGAGCCAGATGCGAAGGTCCCTGTCCCCGTTCTTCTTTCAATCTCTTGCCCGAGTGTTCCGGGCAATCCTGCTGTCAGTGGTGAATACCACCTGGTACCTGGTGAGTCTGTGAATGGCATGCCATTGTGGAAACACAGTGGTGCGGAGCTGTGGCTCTACTGTGGAACGAACAGGACGCACTGTGCATCACATTGCAATACTTGTTTTAACTTGCGCAGCAGAAGACATGTCTTTTTTGGAAGTTGGGAGTCTCGGGCAAATCAGTTGTCGTGCGAATCGAGTGCGGTGTATCATGTCAGTCGTCCGTCTTGTGTCGTGCACGTATCTCGTCGCGTGTTCTGTGTTGTGTAATTTGGTGGTGTCGTGCGTCATGCCTTGTGCTTCGTGCCTCGTGCCTCGTGCCTCGTGCCTCGTGTCGCGACGAGTATCGTATTTTTACCGCGGTGTTTCAGTGGTGATGGGAAGGACAAAGTGCGATAAGGACATAAAAGGACATGAACTCCTTGATGTTCCTTTGTGTCGAGTCTCTGCAAGGCGTTGGTTCGTTGGTGGCCAGGATGCCAAAGACTGGAGGTTTCAATGCGAAGCTGGATTCATCTACAGCGAACCAGTGAACGGCACGATGCCGGATCGTGTTCCTGGTTCCTGGGCACGATTTCAGGGAGGTGTGTTTCTAGCCGACCCCACTATTGTGGTCAAAGCTTCGCAGGAGCCTGTGAACGGTTCGTAGCGTAGATGTTCTCAGTGGTCTGCTCGGGCTGTGCCAAAGCTTGTGCACATCCGCTTATCGACCAACTCAGAGCGCCGAAGTGCCTCTCCCGCGCCGACTTGATGCTACAGCTTTGTCTGCAAATACCTTCGCTGCTGAGAATGCGGTGAGTTAGATTATCTTGACCTTTGCTGCTGCAGAGATTTGCAGCATGCCCTGCATAGCAGGTACATACCCAGCATGGCTAATGTCCAGGATGTGTCAAGACTCTTGCCTGCGTCTTAATGGAGTTCCTTTGGTCAACAGTCCCTCGCATAAGGTAGCAAAGGCAGGTCGGCAAGACGTGTCTGGGCAAATTGCTTCTGCTGGCAAAGAATGGAATGCGGAGAAACAGGGCAAAAGAGAACTCCTGCGACAACCCGAAAGAGACGGTATTCCGGTACTGGCCTTTCTCTGATGGAGAATTGCAAAAGACGGTGAGGGCGTCCCCTGTGCTTGTCCTGCAGCCAGGGAAGAAGATCGACTACATCCCGCACACAGGAATCGCAGTCTTCGGCAAAGAGCCGCAAACTGAGCTTCAGCAGTTCTCATGGTTGCGCTGGGCAAAGCCACATGCTACGCTTTGGTTCGATGCAATGTGGCTGAATGGATGAAGAAGTGCATTCTAAGCAGGCTTGAAGACTCGCTGATGCTCATAGGTACTTCTTCGGAGGAGGTCCTCAAGTGGGTATTCCTGGCCAGTCAGTTCGCGACCTACCGGGGTACACAGCAGAGCAGTTCGCACCCAGAAGCAAAGCAACTACATATAGTAAGCGAGGGTGTTCTCGGCACAAAGAGTAAATAAGATCTATTGTGTGTATTGCGTGTGTAAATCCACACGAGGTCAATGCACTTTCAGGTTCAGTATGGTTATTGTTGTTGGGGGCTCATGCTTTGCAGCTCAACAGCTTTTGAGCGGCCTTTCGTACGCACCAGTCGCCCATGTCGTTGTGTTTCTGTCTTTTGCTGTGCCGGCGACACTTGCTTCATGTGATGAGCTGCATCCACAAGTTGCTCATCTTCTCGTGGCTCATGCTCCATGCTTGTGAATTCTTCTTCGTATGCGTCAGTCGCCCATGTCTTTGTACTTTGGCTTTCGCGGTACAGTAGACTCTTCAGGGTTGAACCTTTGTAGCACAACCAGTTGCGTTTTCATTTGAGTTCAGCTTCTCAGCGAGGACCACTCCACTATTTATGCGGCTGGTGCTCGTGCAAACCCACTTGCTTTAGCTTTTGTACCACGAGGCTTGGAGTCGCTGCTTGCGGTGCGTGCTTTCGGGTGCGTGCCGATGGGGTTTCGAGCAGGTTGAGTGGGGAGAGGATAAGGAAGAAGAAAACTATTCAAAATTATGTGGGCTCGCTCCCTGTAGTTGGGCAGCTCTGCGGGCGGCTGGGTAACCCAGGCACCAGCCGCACCTCGCGGTGCACGTTGTGCTGTTGAAGGAGTGTCTTCGACACCATGTAGCACAGCATTGCCAACGTCAGCACCACCGCCGGGTTCTACTGACGCTGAACCAACTGATGTGGTTGGTGAAGATACCGCTGAAAGGAAATTTGGATTCCTAGCAAAACTCTTGGCGCGCTTCATGCCAGCGGCCGTGCGTTGGGGGTGTCAGCGGAACAAAGGCCTTGGCACGTTTCCTAATGGAAACATTATGTAAGTCTCGCGCATATCGGTGTATTGCCATGGTCTGTATTGTCCACACACACACACTGCCTGCGTGATGATTGTGCCGTTCCGGCATAGGTCTGCTGTTGCTACCGGTTTCAATTGTGCTTGTAGGGTTATGTAAAGTCGATTCCACGTGTGAAGCTAAATTGTGTCATTTAGGGCAGTGGGGATGGCCCATTTCCTTCGCGATCTTGCCGAGATCCGCTACAACAGCTGTGGTCACAATTTATCGTCTGTGTAGTTGGCTTTAATGTTAAACGTGATTCGACGGAGTGTTAGACGATGATTTTGATGAAGCCTCATGAGGGACATTGGGAAGCCTTGGCGCCTCTTGATGTTTGCCTTGTGCCACCTTTTGTTGCATTTGTGTATGTTCTGTGACGTTAGAGGGCTCGATCCAGCAATGCAGGAGTGAAAAAGGTGGTGTGCGGCTACTGCTGCACGGCTTTAAGTGAGGGAGCCAAAATCGGGTCCGGTAGGACCTGGGCCTCACGCACCTGGAGAACACTTGTGATGACACACCAGCTTGTGATGGTGGTGTGGATGTTTTGTTGGGGTCACCGGTGCTGGTCTACTCTGACACGTTGTCTGTAAATCGCCTGACCTCCGACTCCAACATTCTGAACTCCTAGCCGCAGGCAGCAAGGCACTTTTCCGGCTTTTGTGGAGGTGTGTCCTCCCTCCGAAAAGCTGTACTGGGCGTTATGTTGATCATGCGACCACTCACCTTCCCCGATTCGTTTCGCTAGTGGCTTGTGGGGCCTGGCAATTTGCCATCTTGCATCGTGGAATTGTGTCTGACAGCTAAGGTTCCTGTACCGGTGACTCAGGCAGGGGTAACCGGGCAGCCAGATGGTGTCATGACATATCTTTTTTGCAAGACTTGCAAGTTGTCAGGTGCTAGAGCTGGGCGAGACCCACAAGACATGCGAGGAGCTTGAAGCGCAGGTCCCTCGGTGTGACGGTCTGTGTCTCGAGCTGCCGATCCTGAACATCCGAGGCACATCCGGAATGTGCTTTCGCTGGAGCATAACGAGCAAAACTATGATTTGCTCCGGCACAACTGCGTGAACCTCAGGAGCTTCATGGAGCCTCAGAGTCGGATCAAAAGGGGGTTGTGGCACCTGTCAGAGACTGTCAGCCAATAGCTCTCTTGAGCTTCTGTTACTTGAGAATCTGTTTTTCTTTCAACCCGTGCAATCGTAGCTTTTCTCAGGCAATCATTACGCGGATGATGTGGCCAAGTTCTTGCTTGATGGCAAAGGTGCTTCTGCAAGTGTTCCGTCTTGCATGCTGAGATTTCTTTTCCATCGCGACATGCCATTGCAGGTCTTCCAACAAGTATTGTCAATGTGGCAGAAGAAGCCCTGTCGACGCCACAGGGCCAGGCTGCGACACGTTGCTTCTTCTTTGACTCGTGACCTTGAGCTGCGCCATGCACGTAGCATCACGTAGCATTCGAAGGCTCTGAAGGTCATGATTGAGAACATGGAACGCAGCATGCGCTCTGGAGGCCCTGGGGGGATATAGGGGATGGCGTGACTGCAAGTTTGCGCGGGAATTGAGCTGACGCACGTACCTCCTCTGGGCGGCCTGGTTTGAATATGTTTGAATCCATAGGGCTCCCCAAGGTTTGCTTTAGCGTGCTCACGTGTGGCGGTTCTAGCGTGGCGCGCTCCAAGTACTGTCCTGCGGCATGCCCTTTTGTCGAGACCAGCGCTTTGGCGAAGCACATGGATAGGGACTTGTTTGTTTGCGCTTGATTGTTGCCATATGTTGCAATATTTTCTTGCAGTCCGCTGCAGTTTTGTGACTGGGTTGTGTTTGATGAGGCTACAGGAAGAACAAACTTGGCGCCTCATGTTTGTTGTTCCTCATTTTCCTCTGATGCTGGGCTTCCTGCCCTCTGTTGCTTGGTTGTGGATGCTAAACGCACCACGCCCCTCAACAAGACTATGACGATGACGACAACGACGACGCTGACGACGACTTGCATGCGCTCTGGAAGTGTTGTGCGTGCACACATTGACGTACTTTGAAGCCACCGGAGATCCAGAACTGATGCGGCTGGTAGGTAACAACTCCTCTCTCAATCCCTTCTCCAATGCTGGGGGCTTTGCAGTGCTAATGCAGACTGCATCTTCAGAATGTTGCATGTTGTTTGCAGTGCCCAGAAAGCTTTTTGCGATCTGCTTGCTTCTTGGCGGTTTGTCCAAGGTGGGTGCTGATCCTGCCGTGGTAGCTCAAGCAGGAGAAGCTGAATGGCAGACAGACCTGAAGGTGCAAGAGACTGCACTGCCAGTGGAGGAGGGTATTGTGAGGTGAGGTGTATTCATGTACGTATGTGTGTATGTATGAGAGTGTGAGTGTAGGTGTGTACGTCTGTATGTACGTACGTACGTACCTATGTATGTATGTATGTATGTATGTATGTATGTATGTATGTATGTATGTATGTATGTATGTATGTATGTATGTATGTATGTATGTATGTATGTATGTAATGTATGTAATGTATGTAATGTATGTAATGTATGTAATGTATGTAATTTATGTAATGTATGTAATGTATGTAGTGTATGTAATGTATGTAATGTATGCAATGTATGCAATGTATGCAATGTGTGTGTGATGTCTGTAATGTCAGTAATGTCTGTAATGTAGGTAATGCATGGAATGATGGAGTGTGCAATACAATGGATGCAATTCATGTAATGTATGAAGGTACGCATGTACGATTGTATGTGCGCATGACGGCATGACTGGATGGGTGGTTGGATGTCAGGATGGATGGATGGATGGTGTGTATGTATATACGTACTTACGTATGTTGATGTGTAGAGATGTAGTGTATACGTGGGCACGTAGATTCGTAGTACTCGATTTCCTGTGTATCTGAAGACATAACAGGTTGCATTCCTGGCCAGCATGAGTCAAATTCGATTGCAAGGGCTGGATTCAATGCTCAGCTTGGGGCCAGTTCAGACTTGTTGAGGCCGCATTCGCCGACCTCGCAAAGAACGAGCAAGAGGCGACTACTTGAATCTTTATTTCGTAGTTTGATATATGTGCTTCTCCACGGTTTGATACGATATCTTGGTCTGATGACAATTGACGTTTATCCATGTCATCTGCTCTGCAACATTGCCGTCTGCCGTCGTGGCTTCTATCGTAATTCGAGGTAGAGCTGGCCAGCCAAGAAATTTTCACAACAACAAATCGCTTTTCGAAGCACGAGGCACTTGTCGAAACAGAGAGGGCTCATTCGTCACGGACACTTTCCGTCCCAGTTCGGTTACAAGAATCAGGTTTAGACATTCGATGCAAGGACATGGTGCTGCTTTGTGTGGGCTGTGTTAGCTGAGCAAGGTACGGCGGACTGCGCTGCAGATGCTTCTCAAGATGACGGAGTGCGCTGTGCATGTTTCTGGTATGTCTCGGTGCCTCATAGTTCGGTGGTAGAATCAGTGCGCTCTCTTTCTTGAGAGATGGGAGAGAGCCATTTCTCTCCTATTCGCTTGTTATACTGAGGGTCGCGGCGTCATGTGCAATGATAAGACGAGTGCAGGAGCGGACACGGATATGTTAGTGGTGGTTCTGGGACCAGTGAAGTGTGGGACGTGGGAGCTTGCTACCATAGACTCTTCGGCAGGGATGGCAGCCCAAAATGCAAAATGCATGTTGCAGAACCCGCCCCCACCCCCATGGCCATTGAAATTCGTCGTCATCATCGCGCGGTAATGTTTTTTTTGGTTTTTTCTCCCCCATTGTCCATTCCCTTGTTTATCATCAGGCTTTCCTGCACTTGCACCAAACCTGGAGTGCGCAGCATTCAAAACTCAAAAGATAGCTTGTGGCACGTCAGGCAGGCCAGAGGCATGTAAGAGAGACTCCAAGAGGAACCCGACATCGGACGGAAGCCATGAGTAACTGCAATGGGACATAAGTTCAGCCGTCTCGGTCACATTTTTGTGTTTTGGCGGCTTTCAGTGCCCACCATGTGAAACGAAGCTCAGTGCGCTACTGGCAGACCATGTCCAAGAGTCTTGTGACGTAAGAACATCTCGCAAGCATTCCGTAATTTTGGTGGGTCAGCTTGCTGCACAGGATGTTGCGACTGCACGCACAGATGGGTTCGTCCTTGGGAAGCATTCCTCTGTGCTGTGGAAATCTGATGTTCTGCGCATGCCTGCCGAAGTTCCACTACATCTAACCTACTCCATCATCTGGCAGGAATGTTGAGAAGAATCCGTCCGAGCAGAAGTTTCGCAGAATCAAGATGTCCAATCCGGCCGGGACCTTGAAATTCTCAAAGACGCCAGGCCACTCACTGTCACCACTTGCAACCAATGTGCAGAAGCGTTCAGAGTCAGCGCAACATACGGTTTACAGATCATGTGCCAGTGGCGAGAGCACCACCGTTGTACAGCAAACTGCTTCCCATGTGCATCAGCTTCAGCTTCTTGACCCTCTTGTGCAGTCTATAGAAGAGAGAGCCAAGCCAGCCAAGCCAGCCAAGCCAGCCAAGCCAGCTAAGCCAGCTAAGCCAGCTAAGCCAGCCAAACGGCCAAACTGTGCGAGAAGAGCAGATCAGTGGCTGTTACGACATATCCGAGCCGACTCCAAAGTTTCGCCATGTCGCTTTCGCTTCCAACATGGGATCAAGTTCAAATGTTCCCCGGATGCATTTTGTGCTTTTTGCACTTTGTATGTTTTCGCATACTTCTAGAACCTTGCAGTGCAGGGAATGAGAGCTCGCACTGCTCTGGGAGGCGTGGTCGTCACATCATGGAAGCCATCGATGAGAATCCACCTCCGGCCTGGATCTCATGGGGTCATGGCACTGCAAGCGGCTGCAAGGCATCGCTCGCGTCGCACGCACTTATCTTGGCGTTTTCTCTACTGCTCGGTCATCACGAAAGCTAGCCCCTGTGGAGCTAGCGGAGTATCGTACCAACCGTAGGTTGAAATGCAGGGTGTGGTGCGGGGGCCATCCTGAGAGTGGGCCTTAGTCCCCACCTGGTTGGAGTGTCTCGCCCAGAAGGGGCGCTCAGCCAAAGCGCCCCTTGGGTGAAAGGCAAGCCTTGATGATCTGCTCACTCAGCTTCCTTCAGCAACCGAACAAGCTCTCGTTCCCGCCTGTCCCCCACAACTGAGCCCAGGTGCGCATGTCCTGGTACCTGGGCCCTGGAGGGATGTTAGTGCCAGGACCTTAGATCTCAGCGAATGCTCGGGACAAAACATTGCATAAGTCCCTTTGCGTCGCTCTTCGTGTTGCTCTTCGTATAGCTCTGTGTGTTGCTCTGCGTGTCGCTCTGCAGCGGCGCAGGCTTCTGATTGCGACCATGATTGCCTCATCTAGTGCAGCTGGAGCCTGAGCAGAGCGCGAGGCTTGCCCAGAATTTCAGACGAACTGCATCACTGTTTTCTCCGAGGTCTGCATTGAACATTGTGTACGAGTTGGGGATGAGCTGGAAGATAGGCCATTGAAGACTCCTGAAGCTGCACCGTCTCAGAGATTTGGATCAGTAGCCGAAAGGCTTTGCAGGAGGGTAACGCAGACTTCACTTATTTCGATACTGCTTAGCGCTTGAGCGCAGTGAGCACATTGAGCACATCACACCACAGATTGGCATGGAGGCTTCTCCAGTGCATGGACAGATGCGAGGCCGGCGCCCCAGAGCTTCTCATCCTTCGGGACCCTTTGAAACTCATTGAAATATTTTGTCAATCCCTTCTCCCTTCGGCTTGACCTTTCACTCAGGTCAGGTCAGTAACGGCTTCGGGCAAAGCGTGCGAAGAGACCTGTCACAAGCAGGTTCAGCGGGCACCGGAAAGTGATCAGATCAAAGCTATCCATTCGTGTTGTGAGTTGGTTTCTATGCGCAGCGGCATGTCCGAGTGCGGTTCTGTTTTTGAGTTTGTGGCCGCAGCTGTTTTTTTAGATTTTGCAGTTGTGTAGGTAGTTCATTTACTTGGATGTTGTCGGGCGCTCTTGCCCAGTAGAGTGTCTCTATGTAAGGGTTCGAAATGACGGGTTTCACTTTGTTGTTGGTGAGTCAACCCGGACGTTGTTGGGCTGCGGGGAGGGGGGGAAGCCAACAAACACATGCACCTGTCATCTGCGACTCCCAAGCGTCTAGTACGGAAGCCGGACTATGCATTTTTACGGTCCCAAAAGTCGGGGGTCACAAGTGACAGGTTTTAGGGACAAGCAAACGACAGGAGTGCTTTTGTGATGGTGAGATATGGTGAGTAGGTGAATTCTACGCCCAAAGAGCATGCAAGTTTGCAAAGACATGCCGATGAGACCTAGGCAGCAAGGTTCCTCCTGTCCCTCGCCCCTTGCAAGGTGGGCTATACGCGACGCCAGGCAACGTTTGCCTCTTGCTAGCACTTGCTTGGCCAATGGCCGGAGATGTGACATGAGGTGCAAAGTGCTTGGCCAATGGCCTGGGATGCGTCATGAATTGTCAAGTTGGGCTCAAGAAGCTACGTTGTGCCGTTGTCGAGCCGCACATCACAGCTTTCATTGATGTGGTCACGAGTTCCGAGAATTCCTGTTCACACGTACACTGTTCGTACTTCCGCCATGGCACAGCTTCGTCAGCGTGCAGCCCACAGTCGCAACCTGCTGTCTGCGTGAGAACCTTGGCTTCCCGGCACGTGACCCGCTTTGGCCAAGCGAGTTGACTGTTTTCTTAGGTTGCTTCTGCTCTGCACAGTTGCCCTGGTGCCAAGGCGCGCTGTGTGTGCGGCAGTTTTCACAGTCATGCGCATGACTGCACAGCAGCAAGGTTGTGCTTCGCTCCCCCACCGCAAAAGGCAGGATGACTGCACGAAAGCTAAGAAGATCTCATCAGTACTTGATCATGTGCCAGGCTCTGGCTCACAGACAGCAGCTAAGCGCTGGTGCTGCGGCGCTGCCACTTTCCATGGTAAGAGATAGCATGAGATAACAAATTGTGAACGCTTCGCGCATCTTCGCACCATTTTGGCCGAGCCTTCCAGGAAATGTCAGGAGGTAGACGATTATGGTTACTGTGGTTAGGCCGAGTTAGATTTCAGCTTAGCAGGCTTCATTGTAACATTGAGAACTGCCTTTCTGGGGCGCTTCGAAGCCGATAGCCGCATGGAAGCGGCTGGGGGCGGGTTGGAAGCTGGGAGAGCCGGTGGGAGGGTCGGCTCCAGAACCTACAACGACAAACGTGCTCACAAGCGTGCCCAAAAGCCGAAGAGGGTCTGGGCGGAGCGCCCTGAGAGTCCTTCTTCACACCCTTTCGGCCAGAGGCCAAGACGAGTTCTTTCACTGGCGCTGGACAAGCAACACCTTTTGCCTAAGTGTCCGAGCGTTCTTGTCAAAAAAAGCTGCCAGCACTTCTGGCAAGGCTTGTCGCATCGACGGGATCGGCAGCTTTTGCGGACATCAAGGCTTCGATGTCAATGAGACGACAATAGCTGAGTATTGCACCTAAACACACCTAAACACCACAAACACAAAATAATTACCAGTGTGGAGCCTGGCCGCTAGCTGAAGGCTCGAAATCTTAACGTCCCTCCCTTTTATTCGAGGAAGACAAAACGACATGGGCGGGCAGCCAGAACATGTGTGGCGACGCTTGCGAATTTCACAACATAGCGAATTTGATTGCCGTAGGCCTTGGAAGACTGGGCTGGGTTAGTACGGGCTGTTGCAACGGTGCATGTCTTGTCATTTGGTGGGTCAGGGGTTCTGCTCAACGGTTATACACAAACGGACTGTTCTCATCTTGGGGCATGAAACTACTCGAAGCTTCCTTGAACTAGCGGGAACTTCCTAAACCTGCTCAACGGCTCAACGGTACCACGAACTTCCCCAAACTTCGACACATTTCGACACCCTGTGCGAAGTCCCGGCTTGGGAATCTGTGCCTCCACGACACTGCTCGGCAACGAACACCTTACTCCCCAACATTGCCAGCAAAATTTTCAGTCAAACTACCGGCAACTTCCTCAAGAAAACTACCCAGAACCATCAACCAAAAACTACCCAAATCTTTCAACGCATCCAAAGACGTTGCACTCTTCGCTCGTTTCTTGATGCTCGTTTCACTTGTACTTTGCATGCTGGCTTTTAAGCTGACAACGCCCCCACCCCCCCCTCCCTTGGTCTTCAGCAATTTGCAGGCCCAACGACCCGAAGGACTTCCAGACTTCATCTCCGTTCCTGATAAGGAGAACTTCCTCTCAAGAGTCTGCCCCAGATTGCCACACAGCTCTGTTCCTGAGGAGCCCTTCTATGCCACAATTTGGAAACAATGGGGTGAGCAGCAGCGTGGATGAACCTTGATGAACGCCTACAAGATCCTACAAACTCACTGTGACCCAAAAGACTCCTGTATGACTCCTACGTCAGTTCCCCTGAAAATCTGAGGCCGGCGCAGGTGGGTGCTTACGATCCGCGGCTTTCGAATCTGACGCAGGATGAGAGGAGTGGCTTCCTGGGATCCTTGTCAGCAGAGTGGCAAGGCGACAGGGCAATCGACGGCAATGCGTGGCTGTCACACCTGTGTCGGCAAATCTTCGAGTCTGTCTCAGAGCTTAGGAGTACTGGCCATGCTCTCAGCTTTACACTGCCAGGCTGTCCGGTACATCACTGGTACAGCACTTTGTCAAAGATGAGGTGGCTGCCATATTTCTCGTGCCCTTGGGAGTGATGGCCGCCTTTGGTTCTATCCTCAAGTTTCCATGGTCGAGACCTAGCGAGGACAGTGGCTACAGCTAGGGGAACGCTCTTTGCACCGAAGTGCGAGTGCTGCGCAGTGCTGCGCAGCGCTGCGCAGTGCCGTGAAGTGCCGCGAGTGCGTCAGGAGTTAAAGCCCGGCGACAAGAAGGTTGAGGTCGACTTCAGTGACCTGCGTGACATGTGGTGACCAATGTGGAGACCTGGTGATAGCGCCATAGAACTGGGCAAATCGTCGCACGCTGACCGGACCGCTCAGACATTTGCATGAAAAATGCAAGAATGATACAACAGAACGGTGTATCATGTTAGACGTGTCTGGGGGGGGGGTCATGTTTTGTTGAATTTTCGTCAGGTGAGAGCGAGTTTTCCTCCTGCAGTTGGGAGCAGAGAAGTGTTCCTTTCAAGCACAGCTCGGGGCAGCCTCGGAATCTAGAATCATCGGTGAACCCAGTGGTTTCCTTTAATTTCAAAGATCATGGAGCTCTTCAGAGGCAGCTTGAAAGCAGCTTGAAGGCAGCTGTGTTGAATGTCGTTGATGTGCCCTGCTTGGTCGAAGCAGCTGACAACTGCTGATTGGTGAAGCCGGGCCTAGTGGTGAGGACTGCTGCCGAGCCGTGAGACCTTACAGCGCGATGAAAAGAGTGATGCCGATACTGGAAGCCTTGCAAGCCTACGCCGCAAGACACTATTTTGATTCGTCACGCATGCAGCCGCATGCAGGTACAACGAGAGATGGAAAGTTGCGAGAAGCTCAAATTCCATGCAGAATTTGTGGTTTCGCGATGTTTCGCCTGGAACAATGCTTGAGGCCAGAAAGGGTGTGATCACATGCCATTCACGCTGCGGCTGCTGGTGGGGAGCGCTGTGATAAACGGAGTATGAGGGAAGCTTTGCACCTCTGATGCTTAGAGTGTAGGGGCCTGACTGCTCACGTGTCATTTCCGAAAGAAGCTGCTGAAGGATCTGATATGTCTACAGGAATTTATGAAAAGACACAAGCTCAGGAATAGAAGTGCTTAGTAGAGATGGTCACATCCTTCCAGCCAAGCCGTGTAGGCCTTGCTGGGTGTACTGGCTGTGCTTCCGGTCGTGCCACTTCTGGGCTCGTACAGGTGACGTTGCCATCATTGTCCTGCATTGCTGACATAGGGTGCACGTTGCTGGTGGCTTGCGTTGCGACCTTGCATTCTTGTTGAAACTCTCAGGGATGCGTGCAGCTGTGAGTGCTGCAAAGGACTGACAGAACATGACATGGGTTTCCATCATACGGCCAGTGGGTTGTGGTAGCACTTTTGGCACATACATGGGCGTTATTACATTGCTGGGAGCCGCAGCTCGCCCGGCTTTCAGCTTTGTTTCTGCCCCGCCAACTTCGAGTTTGGCGGTTGAGCCTCGCGAGCTGCCAAGCGGGGTTCCGCTGGTTTTGCGAGCCTCCTTTAGTAACTTTAGTCCCTGGTGGATTTCTTCCGTAGTGGGCGGTGCCATCCTCGCTGCTGTGGAACGTTAAGAGAGCTCCCTTGACCGCCAAGCAGGACTAGCTACATGCGGTTGTCTGAATCATCTGGAAACGCTCCTAGTACGACACCAAATGTATCAGATACCCCTCGATGATGAGGTAATAGTATTGTCCGTAAGGTAGAAAATATGACTGGGGTATTTTCGATTCCCACGAGAACAAGTCATCTCCTTTGTATTCGTGGGATACTGAGACTGTAGATTACAAGGGTGACATGACTTTACCATTGCTACAACCAACTTTATGCTTATTAATCGTACTTTTGGGAGAAACGACCACCTACAACCTAACAGAGATGTAAGGGCGGCCTCGTCTTCGGGCGTGGCACCTTCAAGAGGTTAAGCGGCGGCAGGGCGCCTTCTCGGTGCTGCGCAAAGCGGCGAAATATGGCGAAGTGCTTGAAGAAGGCAGCGCGCCGTGGTTTACCCGACCGGTCCCCAAGGAAGCCTTCGATATGGCGACCCCGTAGCAACTACGGCGTAGCTTGCGCTCTTTCTCGTGGACGTTAAGAGTCCATCATGTTGTCGTTATAGTGGCATTGATGCTATAGGATTTACTTCTAGGACTGTTAAAAGTTAAAAGTAGGAGCAGCCGGAAATTGCACGAAGATGCGAAGTCTCAGCAGAGGCAGATCGTCGGAACGATGGCGCTATTTGACGTGGACGCGTTCTTCCTGGCTGGCGGGCGGAAGCGCAAACATTCGAGCGCTGCGAGCCACATCGACTCCCCAATGGATGGGGCTGCATCCTGAGGTTGGGTTTGTCAAGAAACTCGACCACGAGCGGGCATACACCCATCTATACCTGAGGTGTTAACACCAAGCATCACGTTGGTCACCTGTGCAGACCGCCTGCCAGATCGGCAGGCCTTCATTGGTACAGTAGCGTGGCAGAGGGCTACGAAAAGGATAACGGCGGGATCTGGGCCTCTGGACCTTTCTGGCCATTTCCTAAACTTTGGGAAGAAAGCGTTGCCGATTCGGTCGCCCCATCGGGCGATCCCGCGTGGGCGCGACATGATGCTTGAACTCGTGTCCCCAACTTGGTCGACGAGATCGGGAGAGGCCCGTGTGGGTGGGCGACTGCATGTTCCACGGAGCTCCATCTGGCTAAGGGGCGGCTTTTGACTTTTTCAAGACTGGGTTGTCGTCGTATGGTGGGGGGTTGGGGCTGTCAGGCGTGGCAGTGTGCGACCCGGCCCTGTGTTTCTTGGGGGCGGTCTGGCTTCCCGCACACCAAGGCGAAAAAACATCGTTCAAAAAGGAGTGCGTGCTGGTGCACAACCATTTCATCTTGGCGAACCTTCGACTCACGAATGTGCTTGTTGGTTTATTTCTGTTCTGTGAATGTGCGAGGACAGGGCTGTTCGCCAAAGTTAGCCCTTTTCAATGTGGTTTCGCTCTCGGACTCTTCGGTTCCTAGCGACTTAGCATGAAACGTTGTCTGTCTTGGGCATCTGGGTATGCCCCGAGGCTTGGACGGCTTACGGCTTCAGCACTTTGTGGTGCCAACCTGTGTTTGCTTGTTTGCTGTTTGCCTGCAGTTGCCTGCTGTTCCTGTGGTATGAGCGCGGATCGCCTGGTCCCCTTGAGGGTCGCCCCGAGCGTAGCAGAGGATGTCGGTGATGTGGGCGGCAAGGCCTCGCTGTGGCTTTTGTTGCTTGAACCGATGTTCTCATTAATGTTCTGTGTTGTCATTGTCGGCGAGGTCTTGTTCATCATCACCCAAAGCATTGCGATTGCGTTCCAGATCTCAGATGTAATGCTCCCGATTGCTGATGCATTTGTGCCTCTTGTGCATGGTTGTATAGAGGTCAATGTCGAGCTCGCGCAGGTTTGCTGAGTTGGCAGAGGAACGGTGGGGAAACATGAAGCACGACCCAAGACACTGTGGATGCTTATAGGCCAAGGCTATGGAAAACAGCTATCGCATGGCTGAGTTCGGCTGTACAGGCACAGCGATTTTCGTGCCGTTGGCCGTTTGCCTTTGCTGCTGTCCCTGACATTCTCAGACCTGGAATGTCCTGGAATCAGGCGCGGAAATGGTCGGTGCAGCAGTGGGTGGTGCGGTGAGTGGCACAGTGGGCCCGCCGGTCTCCGTCACTGCCTTCCAAGACTTGCAGTCTCAAGTGGAGCAGTTGCAACGCCAGGCCAGGTCCCAGTGGTCACGTTGAACACGACTCTGTCATGATGTCATGATGTGATCGGATGCAATATGATGCAGGTTAAGGAGCTAAGCAGGGCGCAGGACCTTATGCGTGAGGCGAGCAAGGCAAGGTAGGGATGCAGCTTCTTTCATTTGCTTTCTCCATCCCCTCTTCCTACGAAGTGCCGCCAGGTTGCACCAGAGAGTGCTGAGCCGACTGTGCAGTCGCAAAGCACCGGACCGATACCGGAGTTGATATGACTTTGACAGCAGCGCCTGCCGTCAGAAAAGACAGACAGAACCGATGATACAGTCGCATGCAGCTCTGAGACATGGGATTGGGCCCTGGGCTGCACTAGAAAATGCTAGAAACCTGCATTCCGCTGATTCTGCTACTGTAGCAAAGCTGAGGCCTTCCAGAAGAAGGTAGAAGCTGCAGGCGCGCCGCATGTCAAGTAGGATTGATCGTTCTTGATCTCTCTTCATCCTTCTGCTTCTTGATGCCCCGAGGATATGGCACGTTCTAGCTTAATGAAATGCAAGGGTGACTTTGTGCATCTCCCCGCTGCTCCCCCTGATTTTGTGGACTTCAGCCCAGGCGGCGGAGTTGATGCGTTCCCGGCTAGTTCGCTTGAACAGCAAGCAATTTCTCAAATGGGACTTCAAGTGGGTGCTACTTTGGTAGCATTCCAGGTAATGATTGCAGCTGGTTGGCTTCCGGATACCATGCCTGAAGGGGAGGCTTACACAAATTCGGGTTCCTGTCACCTCCTCCGTGTGTTTCCTGGAAGCAGGACTGTTGGCTGCTGAGTGATGCAGCTACCGAGCAGGGACCCCAAATATGTCACACAGCTTTGTCAGGCTGAAGTTGCACGTCGCGGGTTTGATTTCTTAGTCACGAGTACCCAGCCGACCATTCACTGACTGCAGGAGGCAGGCATCTGTTCGCAAATCCTTGGAATGCGAGCTCGCAAAGCTGCCGGTGGCTCATCTCGCTTGCGGTTTGCACAGTGTTTGCACCGCTGTAATCGAAAAGTGCGAAACCAAGTGTGGGCTAGCGAGTGAGGCCGGCACCTCCAGCACCGACCCCATCCCCAACGTCGCAGTCCCGGTTAAGCAAACGGTTTTCTCAACAAAGCTTTCATTTAAGCTCTTCCTCTGAGTTTGCCTGCAGCACAGGCCTTCGGCCCAACCAGCAGGTTATGGAGGCACTTCGCAAAGTGTGCGCATGTTATGGACACTGGGAAACCCTTTTCAGGTGGCTTGCCTGGCTTGCCTGCCGGCCTTGGGGGCTTGCCTGGCATGCCTGGTGGCATGCCTGGTGGCATGCCTGGTGGCATGCCCGGTGGCATGCCCGGTGGCAATGCAATGATGCAGCAGGTTCCTCTCACCTGCTGTCACCGGCTGTCAGCTGTCGGGCCTCCAAGCATCTCTCAGCTGTGTCCGCAACTGCCTAGCGCAGATGATGAACGACCCAAACATGATGCAGCAGGCGCAAGGGGACCTTACAAGTTGGAAGCCGTTCATGCAACTCGCACACACTATGCGCAAGGCGCGCGCGACGCACGCACGCACGCACGCACGCACGCACGCACGCACGCACGCACGCACGCACGCACGCACGCACGCACGCACGCACGCACGCACGCAAGCA